TCTAGTCTTCCTTCTCTGTCCACCTTCACTGTATGTACACATGTATATATACCAAGTATAAAGTAGGTAAGGATATTTTTGTCTATGTTGATACATTTCTTTACCATGAGTTTTTCATTTGATTGACAACTCAGGCTAACAAATGTCCTTCTTCATCATTACTAGCTGGTCCCATTAGACCATCCTGTCCTAAAGGCTGAGAGCAGGGAGAAGTAAGACCTGCATGTTATGTTACATAAATAGCTTTTTAATGTGAGTGGTGTGGCACATATTTTTAAGCTAACATAAAAATCGGTGAGAAGCAGTAGAGACTAGTGGCTTTTTAACTGCAGCAGGTAAACCAGTGCAGCTGGTGTTGTTAAGATCCTCAGGGTGAACACATCTTTGCACATAAGTAGAGCTCTGGTGAATGAACTCTAATTTCTTTTTTTTTTTTAATCCAGAGAGTGAAATCTTTAAAATTATAATACAATAAAGGATCTGTACTTTCAAATGAAGAACATTTGAATTGTTTTCACAAAATACCTAATTGGAAAATGATAAAATCCAGGGAGCAGATAAAGCTACATTTTTCCCAAAGTGAGAGCTCAAATTCAATTTTTAAAAAACTGATTAGACACTATATGAACTTGCTGGCAAAGTATTAGGATACCCAATTTTGTTAATTACTACCTAAGACATTTTCAAACAAGGTGAGTGCATACTGGTGAATACAACAATATGTTGCTGCACCCAGTTTACTGGCTGAGCTGTCTCTGGGAATTCACTGAAACAGTCTGGAATCATAACTACCAAGCCAAGCAGAAACTCACCTGCACTGGAGCCCAGGATTTTATGTGGCAATAAGCATTTTTAATTAAAAGTTTCTCAATTCCTAAATTTGGAACTAAATCTGTAAACATGTGGCAGATTGAGCTAGCACCACCAAGCCTCATTGGCACTGTGAGGGAAATGTGGCATTTTAAAAAATTGGATGGTTAAGCTGAGAAAATCCAGCTGTGTTTTACTTAAAATTGCACTAATCAGTGTTATTTTATTCCCTTTTTTTCTTCACCAGTGTATCTGCTATTATGTGTGTGTTGGCTCCCCGTCCGCCAGCCCTTCACTTTTATCTTTTAAGACTGACTTCATACAGGGATGAGGAGGATTCAAGCAATATAATACTCATTCACTTTAGTGGGTAATAGAAAGCCTCACCTGCCTTATAGTTTATTTCTTAAATAAGTAGGGAGCAGCAGGTAATTTTCATCAGCAAAACAATTAGATTTTAACCATTACCTATAACGTTGCTAGAGGTCTTGAAATTTACACAGAAATTAAGATTGTCTGCTGACCTTAAGATAAAAATGTAAAGAATATGATGTAAAATTAATTAGAAGTAAAATTGCATCTGGGAAGCAGTTTTTCATTTAAATCAATACATGGTCTATGGAGCCCTGAATTATTCTTACATGGGTGTTTGGGATGATAGGTCAGTGTGGGAAGCAGTCAGGGAGAGAACCTGGCCAGTAGTCAAGGGATTTGCAGAGTCCACTTTCAAGAATGTGTTAGATTTCCTGATGAAGTCCATTGTCGGATTGGACTGGGAATCATTATTTTAAACTCATTATTCTCCCAATAAATTCACATTCTGCTTTCCATTAGAGGAGTAAACTCTGGTGCCATGCAGGGCTCCTAAAACTCTGTAGTTAGTAGATCTAAGAAAAATCAGTTCAGGAGGAGGTAAACGTGATTTAGAGGAAACTTGGGGTTACTAATGCTATTATATTGAAATATTTGTAAAAATAGTGCCTCCCTTGCCCCAGGCCATTCCCAGGCTATTTGATCTTCCTGTTTACTATAATCTGGCTTCTCTGGGAATTACTTCTGTCTTCCTAGAGATACTTTCTTCCCAATACAGGGAAGGCTTGCTTATTTATTCAATAATAATGTTGAACATATTAGTGACTTTGGTTTTTAATTCAGTACACACACACATAAAAATGCTTTAAAAAATATGAGATTTTGAACTGTGTATTAATTGAAATTTCAGTAACTAGGAAGAGTTTGGAGTTATAATTCCAAGTGGCCTGGTTTTAAATCCTCTTATGGCTACATTTGAAGGTAGACCTGAGTATCAAAATGAAACTTGTTTAGCACTGGAAATGCAGTGAAAAAATAGTTTTTACCATCTTTCTCTAAAAGACAAAAAATGTAACCCAGGTAAGTTTCGGTAAAATAATACCTAGAAACATTCACAGTAGGCACTGTAAAGAAAGCGGAACACATGTAAGGGAAAGATTCGTACTTGCAAGGTGGGATATAGGAAATAACTTCTCGTAGGTGCGTGGGAATTGTATATGAAGCAAGCTAAATTTTTTCGTTAGTCCCTAATAGAGGTTTTACTTTTTATTTTTTATTTTGTATTTTTGGTAGAGAAAGAGTTTCACTAATGTTACCCAGGCTGGTCTTGAATTCTTAAGCTCAAGTGATCCGCCCGCCTCAGCCTTTCAAAGTGCTGGGGATTATAAGCGTGAGTCACCTAGTAGAGGTTTTGATAAGAGATTATCTTCCATTCCCAGAGTTGGCTCAGTCTCTTCTATTGCCGTTTACTGAGAACTTGTCCATAGAAATGGATAGAAGCTTCATCATTCCTTCCTTTCTGTCTTAAAATAGTCACCTTTGTCATGTTTGCAGAGCATGCCCCTTGAGTTATTCAAGCCATAGCTGCTTCTTGCTGCCTTCCAGCTCTAATGTAGCACCATGGCAACAGACCCAGCCTAGAGCCCAGGTGCCTTGTTTGTTACCTGAGGGGCTAGGTACAGCCTGAAGAAAGAGATGAAGGAATATTACCTATCTTGCAAATTGTTTGGATAGATGAATCTTGATCTTGTTGTTTGTGTTTCTGTTCTGCTTCTATGGAAGACTTGAAATAACACCTGGAAAACATTTATTCAAAGATGTCATCAGTAACCAAAGGCAACAAAGAAGCCATCTTCTATTGGTTCTCGTCTTCTAACAGAGAGTTGTTTTCTGACATATAGTTCAGAAAGTGACTTGCTATACCAGGAAATGTGGCACCGCTATGATTTGGGGTTGCACTGCCAGGTGGCTCTACCATTGTTTCATGTAGGTAGACATTTATTTTGTTTGAAATAAAATTCATTTATGCTTTAGAAAATTTTCCTAGAGAATTTAAAAAACAAAAGTAAGCGTCTGTCATACCTCCTTCTGTTTTAAACATGCCTTAATCTTTCCTGTTGAGAAGCTCACACCAGAGCAGGAGAGGAGTTTTCCTTCCAGCAACTCCTCCTGAGAAAAATGGGCTAGAATTGTTGTTTTGTTTAAGATTACAGTGTCCAGTTTCCTGAACCAGGCTTCCCATGTAGCATACAGTATTGGGAAAGATTATATGATAAGTAAAGTATAATCTTAACATTTAATTATAGTTGATGTACTATATTTACAGTACATAACATGTCATTGTCTTATACATAGAACAAAGGGAAATAAATATGGAGCTTACCTTCTTGCATTTTTCTTTTTTGTTTTAGTTTTTTTAATTTTTAAATTTTTTTTGTTCTTACCCAATATCAGCAGAAAAATAAACATTTTGACATTTTTCAGATAAAAAACATTAGGTAGCGTTTGTCCCTTTTTTGCATATTTTATACTATCAGCAAGAAATATAAATGTTGACTTTTTTACTTTAAAAATTACTGAATATCAGAACACATGTTTTGAATCCTAAACTTTAAATGGTGGCTGATTTGTGTGTGTGTGTGGAAAGAAGAACTAAAATCCTTCTAAGCTTGTTTCTTATTTTATGGAATGTGATTAAACACTCTTAGAATAAAAGTAGATGGGAGAAAGCAACCTTAATGCTAGTTTCCTATAACTTTTTACTTTATAATTTAACTAAAAGCTACTCTGGCATTAAATATTTAAGTTCCTTTTTGTGTTAATGTGGTTATTTCAAGGAATTAAATGAAGCTGCTTATTTAATGTGTTTTATAAAAACAATTGTCTTTAAACAAGGCATTTCTTTTCATCCTTATTACTGAGTACTTCTGCTTCAAATATATGTATGTAACTCTGGGTGTTTCATTCAGTAGATACTATAATTATTGAGTCAAACTGCATGGCCATCCAATTTGGGATTCAAGAATATTGTACTTCATATGTTTGACTCCTTTAATTCTTTCAAGAGGAAGGCAGTGAAGTACTGGCTTTGTAGTGACAAGAGTCATGATTCCTAGCATTCTTCTTATAAACAACTAGGAAACAAAATCAGCTGGGATGACTGAATGGTGTTGACAAAGATTTCTAGATGAAAGTTTGGGCTTTTTTTTTCCATGGTGGGAGGTTTCTTCAAGGAATTTTATTCTTTATTCATATTTATACAGTAAAGCATGAATAGAACCTAAAGCCTGCCAGAAAAGAATTCTATATTGAGATGGAAATCAGGACTTTTGAAAGACAAGACCTTGTGCTAAGAAGTTTAGCTTTGACTCTGTGTCAGTGAGTGTGTGTGTGTGTTGTGCCAAAGTAGAAAGAAACAAAATAAAGATTCAGCCACTACTATTTTGTCAGTGATATAAAAGGATAAAGCTATAGTATGAAAACAAAAATAATTTGTCTTTTGGCAATACCTTTGCATAAGAAAGAATATATAAGATAACCTTAAAGAGTATATATTTCTCCATCTTCCAAAATAGGAATGAGAATAAAAAATAATGTCTGTAATGGGCATTGACGCTCACTGAAGACAAGTAAATGTATAGTATATTTTTATGCCGTATTGAAAAAAAGTGTGTGTGCACTCACATAAATATATAAAGAGAATATGTTTGCCACATAAATGATTACTATTACTGTTTTTATAGATTAACTGTTCATTTGTTCCTCATTTATTTCTTCCCTTAGGCTTTTGTACATTTATTGTTGTCTTCCATTGCATTAGACCTTCATTTCCTTGCTGGCCAAGTTATACTACCTTAAATATATTTTTCTACTTTTAGGTCTCGTGGGCTGCCTAAACTAAAAGAGTCACGTTCCCATGAATCCTTGCTAAGCCCATGCAGTGCAGTGGAATGTCTGGATCTTGGCAGAGGGGAACCTGTGTCAGTGAAACCACTCCATAGTAGCATCCTTGGACAAGACTTCTGCTTTGAGGTAAAAATAAAGTGTAGAAAAAAAGGAAAAGTAGTTAAACAACAATTGAATTTTTTTATCCAGCAATTTTGTGATTTCATTACTGTGCCATTGATGATTTAATTAACTGGTTTTGAGTTGCTAGAAATTACATACAGGGAAAAAATTAGAAATCTCATCAAATCACATTTGCAGTTAAAGTTATTAATGATAGCTTTGCATTCCTTTTGGCCTTGTCTCATTTCAATAAAGTTGGATTCTTAGTACATTTTCATCAGGGAACAAGACTAACAATAACATTATATTAGTATATTAATTTTTAGTATTGGTAAGGATGTCACTTATTATGTTATTTTTCTAACTACAGCATGAGTAGTTCAAGATCTGAGCATGTTTTTCTTATCTATCCATTCATCTATTCATCCATCCATCCATCCATCCTAATTCCAGGGTATTTTGACCTATGTCTTGTTTATTTTGGAAATCACCTGTACCTAGCCCAGACCTGGGCACATTGCAAGTGCCTAATTTTTGAATAAACAAAATTGCAGCTATCATAAGGTGATTTCTTCCTTCCAAATATATACTACTGGCCAGTTACAAGTAAAATTCAATAACTATATATACATATATTGATACATACATAGAATTATTAGGGCTGGGATTTGATTAATTAACAAGAACTTACTAAGTGACTAGGGATGAGTCCTATGCTAGATGTTGTGGAAGTCAAAAGATGTTTGGTTCCTCTTCTTATGGACCAGCACCGTCCAAAAGAAATATAGTACAAGCTGCATGTGTAACCTAAATACTATCATTTCAACGTGTTCACTAATAGAGAAATTGTTTCCTTTTTTTTTTTAGACTAAATCTTCAAAATCTAATGTGTGTTTATACTTACAGCATATCTCAGTTTGGAATAGCCGTGTGAGGCTAGTAGCTGCTGTATTGGACAGAGCATATAATCTGATCGGATTTAATAGGTTGTGGCCAGAGATTGAGTTAATAAGGGAGCAAGCTTCAGCAATTTGAGCAGGCCATTTACTGGTGTTCTTTTTATAAAAATCAGTTGAACTTTCCCATATTTGTGGAACTCAGTTCATTAGGCTGTATACCAAGCCCAGAGTTAGGTACTAGGTGTATAACAACCTATTTCATTTTTAAAGGATTGTGTTAATAGTGGTCAGGCTAAACTAATAAATGACTAGAAATCAGCAGGCTAGTTGCCTAGTGGAGGAAAAATGGGTTCCAAAGATAGTAATTCAATATTAGTAACTTCAATGTTATTTAATATCCTTCTATAATATAGTGAAGACAGTCTCAAGAAATCTGATAAGCTGTTTCAGAAACTCTCATCCTATTATCTCAGCACTTTGGGAGTCCAAGGTGGGTGGATCACGAGGTCAGGAGTTCGAGACCAGCCTGACCAATATGGTGAAACCCCATCTCTACTCAAAATACAAAAATTAGCTGGGCATGGTGGCGTGCATGTGTAGTACCAGCTACTCAAGAGGTTGAGGCAGAAAAATCGCTTGAACCCAGGAGGTGGAGGTTGCAGTGAGCTGAGATTGTACCACTGCACTCCAGGCTGGGTGACAGAGTGAGACTCCGTCTCACAAAAAAAAAAAAAGAAAGAAAGAAAAAGAAAAGAAACTCATCTTTTATTACCTGTTTTTTATTAACTCAAAGTTGAACATATTCATTTACAGTTAATTTAAGGTATTGCCTAATATTTAATTTTTATTTTTCTGAACCATAGGCCAGTTTTAGTTTCCTCAGCTGAATTTAAAATGGCCTTTGTTCTCATATATGGAAATGGACGTGGATGCTACCTAAGCAAAAAGTAGACATAGATATAAATATAAGTATCAGAAAACTAGCAAAGATCATCTTAATTTCTTATAGTGTGATTTGGGTTCATAGCATATCTCTAACTCACAACTTTGCATTCCTTTTGGCCTTGTCTACTTTCAATAAAATTTGACTCTTAGTATATTTTCATTAGAGGATGAGACTAACAATAACACTAAATTAGTAAATTAATTTTTTAGTATTGGTAAGGATGTTGCTCATTATGTTATTTTTCTACCACAGCATGAGTAGTTCAGGATCTGAGACCATATTTTTCTCATCCATCCATCCATCCATTCATCCATCTGTCCTAATTCCAGGACATTCTGACCTTATCATTTAAGAGGTAGAGGTATGCTATGAACCCAAATGATAGAGCCCTGAAATCCAATGTTTTCCTTTTTTTATGTCTAATTTTTATGTTGAAGGTTACCTACTTAAGTGGAAGTAAATGCTTCAGCTGTAACTCTGCTTCTGAGAGAGATAAGTGGATGGAAAACCTTCGCAGAACAGTTCAACCTAATAAGGTAATACTGGCTTTGAGTATCTAAAAAACGTGTAACTTTGTAAGCAATTAGTTGATAGAAGGTAAATATAATAGTAATACCCTAATTTGTCTACAGCTTGAGAGTTTTAAAGCACATTTATATGTTATGCCATTTGTAGTAAGCCATTATTGTATTGCTATAAAGAAATACCTGAGACTGGGTAATTTATCAAGAAAAGTGGTTTAATTGGCTCACAGTTCTGCAGGCTTTACAGGAAGCATGATGCTAGTATCTGCTCAGCTTCTAGGAAGGCCTTAGGAAGCTTACAGTCATGACAGAAGCCAGAGCAGGAGCAGGCACATCACATGGTGAAAGCAGGAGCAAGCGAAAGAGAGAGAGAGAGTGTGTGTGTGTGTTTGAGTGATTTGGGGGAAAGGTGCCATGCACTTTGAAGCCACCAGACCTCACAGGAACTCAGTATCACCAAGATAGCACCAAACCATGAGGAATCTGCCCCCTGATCCAAACACCTCCCACCAGTCCCCACCTTTAGCATTGGGAATTACAATTCAACATAAAATTTGGGCAGGGACAAATATCCAAACTGTATCATAATTTTAAGCTAAAAATAGTCTTACTGCAGATATTATTGTCATGGTTTTACCAGTATGGACAAAAGGACTCTGGAAAGTTAAGTGAATTGGCCATGTCAGAAGTTAGAACATGGTAGAAGAGGGGCTAGAATATGAGCTTCTTAACAGTTTATCTCTTTTATTTGCAGAGATTAGGCTGGCTGTATGAAAACTTACCATTACAAAATGACATTTTCTTAACCCAAGTAAATTGAATAGAATGAGCTAGATATAATATAATATAATATAAAATGAACTATATATAATTCTTCAAGATTCTAAATTGTTCTTCTTATTTAGAGCTTGCTGTTAACCTAAGCAATGAGATAGCAATCCCTTTCATTATTTGTTGACTCCCCTTAATAGAATACCTAATCAACCTTGCCAACTTAAGAAAAAAAATGTTTTTTTTCTGCAATGTGAGCTCTGAAATTCAACTTTGTTGCCTCTTTATAGGACAATTGCAGGCGAGCTGAAAATGTTCTTCGTTTATGGATCATTGAAGCCAAGGACCTTGCCCCTAAAAAGAAATATTTCTGCGAACTGTGCCTTGATGATACCCTCTTTGCTCGTACAACCAGCAAGACCAAAGCAGACAATATTTTCTGGGGTGAACATTTTGAATTCTTCAGCCTTCCACCTCTTCATAGCATCACAGTTCACATTTACAAGGATGTGGAAAAAAAGAAAAAGAAGGACAAGAATAATTACGTAGGGCTAGTCAACATCCCCACTGCCAGTGTGACTGGTCGCCAATTTGTAGAAAAGTGGTATCCAGTGAGTACACCTACACCCAACAAAGGAAAGACAGGAGGACCTTCTATTCGGATTAAATCACGTTTCCAAACTATCACCATTCTGCCTATGGAACAATACAAAGAATTTGCAGAATTTGTCACCAGCAACTACACCATGCTGTGTTCTGTCCTTGAGCCAGTAATTAGCGTGAGAAATAAAGAGGAGTTGGCTTGTGCCTTAGTGCACATTCTTCAAAGTACTGGCAGAGCCAAGGTAAGTGGAAAAGGGGGATTGCAATGCCTAAAATCTCTTCCCGACCTTTTGCAAAGAAACAAAGATATGGTTACTGTAGAAATTCAAATTAGAGAAATGTTCTTTACTGTTGGTCAAAACAAGAAGAAAAGGAAGAATTAAGAAGAAAACCTATTAGATCGAGAAAAGATAAAAATTATAAAACTAAACCAGTAAAATGGAGAGACCAACAAACATTTATTTAAAGTCCATTTGCATGAAACATAGTTACTACAGTCAGTTCTTTATTGTCTGACAAAATAAATGGTAGGATCGGCATGATAACCCTACAGCGTGTTCAGGGTTCTTTATCTTTAGTTCTAGAGTGTTGTATGGTGGTTTTCTTCCTCACTGTATTTTGTTTAAGATTAACTGAGGACTGTATCCTCTAGGCACAGAAAGAGGTATTCCAGAAGCATGTTGGGTATTAGCAAGAGTCTTCATGGGATTAAAATCTATATTTAGAATAAAAATACCAAGGGATATTATAAAATTGGTAGCTGTTTCATGATAGACTTCTTATTTCACCTTGGATAGAAGTAAAAACTCAGGAAGGTTTTTTTTTTTTTTTTTAAAGGAGAAATATGCTTGTTGTAGGAAAAACAAAAACCAATTGAGAAAAACCTTTGACCTGTGAGGCATATTCACTTAACGAGGCAGAGTTGTCATTATACTGTATGCAAATTGGTCATGATAAAATTATATCTCAGAGCCAAAGAAATTCACAGCTAGAATAATGTATTTAGAACCAAAGTACTATTACTATTTATTGATATTTCAGAGTATATAAATATACTCGATCATTAGTCTCTTTATCTGCCTTTCTATGGATTATAACTTTTGTGCTTAAATTTACTAATTGGGCCTTCTGTCATTAAAAAAGTTTATAAGTTTGGAACGAGGTATCACTGAAATTTTGAATTTCTACTTTTCAGTTGCTCAAGGTTCAGAATATACATAAGACTTTCTAAATGACAATATTGATTTACATACATTTTAGGTACAATAAACACCCATTTAAAGTGGAAAAGTTACTGTAGTAAGTTTTGACCGATTTTGCGCCCATTGAAACCACTGTCATGATCAAGATACAGAATGTTACTGTCACCCCTAAAAGTTTCCTCCTGTCTCTTAGCATTAAGTTTAATAGTGATTCCTAAGTCCACAATTCTTTTATGTTGTTAAGCTGCCCCAGAGTAAGTCCCATTGGTGTTTAAAATGCTTAATTTTAAAGTGACAATAAATCAGCATATTGTCCCTATTTTGGCATTTGGAGCCCTAGAAGTATCCAATAATTATGTAGCATTCAAAATATATGATGTTATCACATTTCAAACTGAACAACCAACATTGAACCTTATAAGAAGTTCTTTAAGACTGTTGCGGAATGAAGCAGCTATTTCTTTGAGCCTTTATTTCTCCTTATGCTATCCTTCTGGATGGATGGATGGATGGATGGATGGGCAGACAGCCAGCCTAGAAAATGACTTCTAGTGTTGAGTTCAGTAGATTCTACATTGATACTGTGGACCAATTTGTAACTATTATATATTGAACACCTAACATGCCAGAAATCGTTAGGCACTGGAGATATGGTGGTAAACAAAAACAGAAACTGGTTTTCTGGAGAAAATAGATATTAATCAAGTAATTACAGAAGTAAATGTGATTACAGTGAGAATTGCAGAGGATAAAAAGAGAGATGATACTGTAAAATGGAGCAAAGGGAGCTGACTAATGGAGTACAGGGGCAATGTTGATCAGGAAAGCCTTCACTGAGGAAATGATATGTGAACTAAAATCCAAAGGATCCCAGGAATGAGCCACGTAACAGTGGGAGTGGAAGCAAGGGTAGGAGCAGAGCAGAACTAAGAAAAGTATTTGAAAAAAAAAAAAAAAAAAAAGGCTTTGTGGTGAACAGAGAACACTGTGTGGGTTAGAAAGGGCTTGGTATATTAAAGGACCTAAAAAGAAAAGGTACAAGACTTGAAAGGTAAACAGAAACCAGAAAATATAGGGACTTGTAAATCGCATTCAGAATTATGGCCTTTATCAAAAGTGCAATGGAAAATCTATGAAAGAATTTTAAATGTAGGGATAGTAACACCTAAGACTTTATCCTGAGTGCTTTTTTTCCTTTCAGATAAATCTGATAGCTTTAGCTTTAAAGCAGCATTTCCAGGGTGTCTGATATTTCATCAGTCTCTTCTAATGTATATTATTTATTCAGTTGCTTTCTGCTTGATTGAACATTATTCTACCAGGATTTTCTGACTGACTTGGTGATGTCTGAGGTGGATCGTTGTGGAGAGCATGATGTCTTGATCTTCAGAGAGAACACTATTGCCACCAAATCCATTGAGGAATACCTCAAGTTAGTGGGACAACAGTATCTTCATGACGCACTGGGTATGAAAGAGAAAAACATCTATTTTCTTTATCTTTCGATTTTAAGATATTTCAACCTCATGAGACAAATGAATTGAGCATGTTATTTAGTTCTAGCTGACTCAAGTGTTAAGGTTTGAATTGTGGCTGTAAGAAGTCTTTGCAGTACTCATCAGTGGAGAAATAACAACAATAAATGTAGAAACAGAAACCCTGTCAGCATACACTGCTTCCCCCAGTCCTCAACTTCATGATTCTGGGATGCACAGTAATATCAGCGTTGTCCACTGATAGATCTGAGGTGGTCTGTTTTCCCCAAAGTGTTGGTGTTTATATGATGATATATTACCTAGTCTTGAAAGTGTTACCCTGACATTTGTTATCATGTATGCAAACCTCTAATCAAAGTGAAGAAACTTGCCACTTCCCACAACTCCCCCAGAGATTTCTGCCTTTGAAGTGTCTAGAATGTTTAACATAACTAATTTTTGTTCAACCAGCAGTTCTTGCTCACTAGACTACACACTTGTAGTTCTAGATTTGGTCACGAAGTTAAGGCATTAACCACTACAGTAAGGCACTGTGCTGGTCACTTTAATATATATCACGATAGAGCAGATGTGAGTTCCTTGAAGGAAATAGCCCGTTGTTTTACCTCCATACCCTACTGCCTGCACAGACTATTGAACAGCACTGTCCGATAGAAGCATAATATGAGCCATGTGTGAGTAATTTTATTTATTTTTATATTTGGAGTAATTTTAAATTTTCTATTAGTCACAGTATTAAAAAGGGTAAAGAGAAACAGGTGAAATTAGTAACACATTTCATTGACCCAGTATATCCAAGTATTATTTAATGGCTTGTCAGAATAAAAGTTATTAATTAGGTATTTTACCTTTTTATTCTTTTTGAAATTGTGTGTATTTCACATGTATCACACATTTTAATTTGCACAAGCCATTTCTAATGCTCAACAGTCACATGTGACTATCAAGTGTAGACAGTAAAAATACATTGAATGATTGGAGAGATTTTTGCCATCAAGGAGTTTACACTATAAGGAGATAAAATGAGGGCTATCTCTGTACCAAAAAGAGAGAGATTCTGTGTTCTTTCAAAGAATTTTTAAAAATTGAATGTAGCTGATAGAATTTTCAAACTTTCTCTGTGAAATACATTTGCATATGTAGTGTGAAGGCTAGAAAGTTTACTTAAAAACAGACATTGAGCAAGAGCAGACATTGAGATAAGAATTAGCATGGGGAAAAGGACCCATGAACAAAAAGACATAGAGTTGGGACAGAACCAGGAAAGTGTGGAATAAAACAATTTAGCTGGAAAAAGACATGAAAGAAAACAAAAAGATTAGACAATCTTTTTGTGAACAACAAACAAAAAGATTAGATAATAATTAGAACCAAATTTTGAAAGCCTCAAATGCCTGAATGAGGATTTAAAGTTTACAGTAATCACCGGAGAGCCACTGAAAGTTGTGAGCAGGTTGTTTTCAGTGGAATTAACTTAACAGACTGATTAAGATGGGTTTTGGCCGGGCATGGTGGCTCTCATCTGTAGTCCCAGCTACTCGGGAGGCCAAGGTGAGAGGATTGCTTGAACCCGGGAGTTTGAGGCTGCAGTGAGCTATGGTCACATCACTGCACTCCAGCCTGGGTGACAGAGAAAGACCTTGTCTTTAAAAAGTTGGTGAAGAAAGCTGCTGAAAGCTGATCAGTTAAGAAGCCATTGTAGGCTGAGCACTGTGGCTCACACCTGTAATCCCAGAAATTTGGGAGGCCAAGGCAGGTGGATCACCTAAGATCAGGGGTTCGAGACCAGCCTGGCCAACATGTTGAAACCCTGTCTCTACTGAAAATACAAAAATTAGCCAGGCATGGTGGTGGGCACCTGTAATCCCAGCTATTAGGGAGGCTAAGGCAGGAGAATTGCTTGAACCTGAGAGGCAGAGGTTGCAGCGAGCCAAGATTGCACCATTGCACTCCAGCCTGGGTGACAAGAGCAAAACTCCTTCTAAAACATAAAAATAAAAAAGCCACTGTAGTAAGAAATAATGAGACTCAGGCTCTGAATGAGGGTAATAATGCAAGTAAGAATAGAGAAGATGGATATGAGAGGTATTAAAGTTAAACTGATAGAACTTGGCAAATTTTTCAGTTTGTGGGAACAAATATTACAGAGAATTGTGAGGTTTTGTGAGTGACTAGGGGGATGATGAGATTCCTGACGGGAAACCACAGAATTAGTAGGCGTGAAACAGGAAATTTCATATATATTCAATTTGAAGTTCTAGTAGGAAATCTCAGGGGTTTTAGGTAGGAAATCTAAGCAGATCACCTGTCTAGCTGGCTGTTGGAAATTTGGGACCAATTTACACATGTGGAGAGGTTAAATGAAGCTGTAAGATTACCAGAGCAGGAAGAGAACAAGGCCAAAGATAGATCTTAGAATGCACCTGGGATTATCGTATAGAATGAAGAAGAATCAGAGAAGTGATCAGAGAAAGAGAGCATCCAAAAAAGAAAGAAAGCCAGGAAAATACTGAGTCCTAGATACCAATAAGAGAGCATCATTAAAGTCAGAAATTATGGAAGGTAAAGATAAAGAATGGATATTGCATTTGGCACCTTAAATATCACTGGTGATGGCTCACACTGGTTTCAGGAGGAAAGGAGCCAGGCTGTAAGGAATAAAGAGTGAGTCGCCAGTCGAGCAACAGGATCACTATGTTTACATGAAGCAGACACATTGTAGTAGCTACTACAATTGGTTTCTGCTCTGAAGCAGATTTTTTGTCTTCCTGCTTGTCTTCATATTTTTTTCTGTAATCATGTAGACTTTAAAATGGTACAAAGAGCTTAAGAAAAGTACAAAGAGATTTATACTGTCATTTACATAAAGAGCTTATTACAGTCATCAATTATATCTCATGGTTTGCTTTAATTATTTGTGTTTCATTATAAAAGGCTACCAAAAAAGAAAAAAAAGCATCTCAAACAGTATTCTCCATTCTGTGGACATAGGGGTGAATATTTACTGACTACCTGCTTCTTTGAAATCAAATAGTCATACTTAAAAATTCAGTGTGCTAAACAGGATTTCTGAATGAAATAATTTCCAAAATAGAAAGTGGGTACCAGTCCTGTGATAGGACAGTGAATGATTAAATGGCTGATGGGCTCAATGAAGCATGAAAATTAATTCAGTGGACATGGGAAGAAATTCAAGTAACCCCTCAGAAATCTCTGTAATAATATTTATAATCCAAGAGCAAGGGCCAGAGTAGTAAAAACGGCTGCTGCCTCTAAGAGCATAAACAGAATTAATTGGTAAGCTTCTTCAGGATAAGGGCTATATTGTCTTCTTCTCATTAAAGTATTTCATATACTTTGGGCAGAAAATAGGTACTGTTTCCAGACTCCTTGAATAGTGTTCAGAGAGAATTTATTTTAAAAGTTGCCAGTAATATTGTACAATATCTGTCTGCTTTTTAGCCAGTCTTTATCTTAATTAAAGCATTACTCTTTCTGCACAGACTCTGCATTGTTTAGATTTAAATCTTCCGTCTGTTTTCCTATTTTACCTTTCTGATTGAAATCAGATTGCACATTGTTATCCTGTGACACACAGGAAATACTATCTGTGAAATATACAGAAGAAAGCCCTGAAAAGACCTGATTTCCACTTTTAGTGGTGGAGGCAAATTCCTTTCAACAGTAACATGTTCATACTTGTTGACTTACTCATACATGTGAAATTTTTATGCTAGATGGTAATGAGTTAATGATTTACACAGAAAATACATCATAGAACATCTGGGTACAAACTTAACATGTAAACAACATAACAAGCAACGCTTTTGGCTCTGGTGTTTTTCAAATGCAAGGAGGCAAACTTAAATGGGTTTTTAAATCTGTCTTGGTAATTTTGATCAAGTAAGCAAACTTCTAGTTACAAATCAATAAAAGCCTCTCCTTTCAATACGGTACATTCTGCATGCTGAAACATTGGTTATTGTTTCAACAGTTAAAGTAATATTTTTCTATTTTGGAGCATTTTAAATATGTCATAATCAGGAACAAAAACTTTTCGAGCTGATACTGTAGAAATTATTTTACTTCTGGGCCCTGGAGTTATTTATCTGGCTCTTTTCTTGAAGAATAAAAGAAAAATATTGTTAATATTCATGTTCTTTGTTAATCTTATTTTTTCCTTCAAATACACATAACCTAAAAGGACTCACTAAACAGAATATTTAGGATGCATGTGTAAAGTTTAGCCAGTTTTTGCATGGGATGTTTGACACTGATTTCTTAGTTTTAAATTTAGGTACTCTTTCAAGGAAGTACATTTGTGGGAACACATAGCACAGGAGACATAGAGAACATGTTGAATACATGTCTTGTAATCTTTTTAAAAGGCTTTTGCTAGTTTTAGCCATTTCACTTGACAAAAAATTATTTAAAAGTTGCATGATTTGTACATTAGAATACGTTTTGTATGGCACTCCTACTAAGAGTCAGGTACCATATTAGATGCTTTTCATACATTATGTCTTTTCCTCACCACAACTCTACAGGTGGTTTCTGTTAACACTATTTTACAAATAAGACAGCTGAAACTCGGACTAATTAAGTGACCTTTCCGGACCCCACAGTCAGTTAAATGATGGATCCAGGATTTGAGCCTAGATTTCTCTGACCTCAATGCCTTTAATTTTTCTGTGCACCATTTTCCTTTCTGTATACCACATTGTTTCCTGTTCCCTAAGCATTTTTCCTCAAAATTATCACTTCTCATTCTGTGTCACAGATATTTTTAAAAGCTTTCATTTATCTGCATACTAACCACTTAGATAGAAATATTCTTTCTATTGCTGCTGCTACTTAGTTTTGCAGGCATTATTGTTCAGTTTCATGAAGTGTGTTATGACTAGCCTGAACCTCAAGTAGTAAAAGCATGTTTGGGAGGAGATTTGAAAGATCCACTCCTCCTTCATAAAGACCATTAAAAAAACGAGAATACATACTGCCATCTCTGATAAATATTTATTGAGCACCTATAATATTTTGGGAGCTATTCAGAAGAGTCAAGATTTGAACATGAACAGAACCTAGTATCTAACCTCCAAAGGTATTCATCCTAGAAATGAAAGAAACACAGTGTAAAATATGAAGTAGTCAAAGATGTACAAGGTATGGTGTATGCTAGAGGATAAACAGTTAAAGTAGGAATTTGTTCTTTCAGGGAATAATGGGTTTATCTTCATAGAGCGTAGGCTATGTGAACAGGGCTTCTAAACTAAATTTATATGGAAAAGTGTATACAGATTATATAAGGAGATCTGCTATAATATTGTACAATGTTGAATGACTGTCTCCTCTACAAGAGGTAAGCATAGAGGTCCTTACTTGCATTGTGTTTGGCACCAACATTAGCACTTAACACCTTCAGTGGGCAATTCAGTCAAGCTTGGGTCATGTGTTCTACTAGAATAACGATAATAGTCACCTCAGTAGAGCAAGCCTTAAAACAAATAACAAGTTTATGCTAATTAAACATATATTTAGTTTCAGTTGATACTACATTGCTTAAAGCAGTATCATTACCATTTTTATAAATACTGTGATGATGATGATGGTAGTGATTGCTGTTATTCCACTTCCAGGATAAGAAAAATAAACATGATATGTAGGATGTGGCAACTCATGGGTTCCAAAGCAATGACCCTTCATAGGCCATCTTTTGTGCCCTCCATGTCAGATCTAGAAAAGAATTCCCCATTATACATTTTAGGACAGAAATCATAAATCCTTTTATTCTATTCAGGAAGACACTATTTATAGTTATACTGTCATCTTCTCTTTTCAAACAGGGGAATTTATCAAAGCTTTGTATGAGTCAGATGAGAACTGTGAAGTGGATCCCAGCAAATGTTCATCTAGTGAACTGATAGACCATCAGAGCAACCTGAAAATGTGCTGTGAGCTGGCTTTCTGTAAGATCATCAACTCTTACTGGTGAGCTTATCTCATCCTCTGCCTGTGAAACTTAAATTTTTTCATATAAAAGTCATCACAATGTTAACTATTATTTTACAATGAAAGGCGAGGGTCTTGGGGAAAAACTGAAAGTTTCCCTAATACGGTCCCGTCTAAAATTGAAATATTCATTGTAAGCAGAAATACTTTTGATCTGGCTATCTATATAATCTCTCCCCAGAATATTAATACTATAGCCTCTAATATCAAAGGTATTTATTTTGCTTTCTAAAATATTTACTAGTGTTTAACAGATGTGTTCATGAATTTTGATCATTGCTCTAACTCCAGCAATTGGTGAAATTTTGAAGATTTTTGATGAACAGTCTTTAGAGAGATTATGGTGAGTTATACTAAACCAGATGGTTTAGTCAGGAGCCTCATGCCATTTTCCCACTTTGCAAAACTAAATTTAAACTAATCCAGAGTTTTGTAGCCTTGGGTTTCCAGTCTCCATCTGGCCTCTGTGAATTTTCCACCCCCTGTCAGCCATGAATCAGGTAAAACCTAATCCCAGAATTTCTACTAGGTCCTCCTTCCAGCCTGACTCTTAAGCAGAAATACATGGTGTCAAGGTGGAATCACTTGTGCTTTGTGTTCTGGTACTTCTGTGTTTAGAGGTATCGGTATTTTTTCCTTCCCTAGTGTTTTCCCTCGTGAGTTGAAAGAAGTGTTTGCATCATGGAAGCAGCAGTGCCTGAACCATGGCAAGCAAGACATCAGCGAGAGGCTCATTAGTGCCTCTTTATTTCTCCGTTTTCTGTGTCCAGCCATTATGTCTCCAAGTCTTTTCAACCTTATGCAGGAGTATCCTGATGACCGCACATCTCGGACTCTTACTCTTATTGCCAAGGTCATTCAGAACCTGGCCAACTTTGCCAAGTAGGTGATACTTTGTAACTACTTTAAAAACACAATTTAAAAAAATACTTGAGGCCTAAAATTTGGATGAGAGTTGGGAGCCCCATCACTCATGTTTCACTGTAGTATTAATAAATAGAGCAAAATATTGGAAACAACTTAAATAATCACTTCATAGAAGAATGGTTAAGCAACCTATAATACATGCATTCAATGGAATATTTGCAGGCACTACAAACTGTTTACAAAGACTATCCAATAATATAGAACATGAAAGTAAAATTATATTAAATGAAAAGTGCTGATAAAATACTTTAGTAGAAAAAAAAGGGCAGAATAAAAAGAGGTATATATGCTGTTATCCAAGCAATATTAAAACACAAAAATCTAAGTATAAAAAAGGTTGGGAAGAAAAGACAAATTCTGTGGTTACATTGTCTAAGACAACTATCCTAGCCACTTCAAAAATGACAATTTTATGAAAAATGCAGAAGATGGAGGGGGGCTGTTGTAGATTAAAAGAGACTAAATGCAATACTTGAAACTTATTTGAATCTCAAGTTGGAAAAAGTATACATATGTCATTTTGGGGACAGTGGGTGGAATTTATAGACTGTAGATAAGATAATTTGTGAATAATGTTTTTAAAAGTTTTAGTGTGATAATGGCATTGGTTTATGTAAGAGATATTCCTTATTCTGAAGAAAAAGATGCTAAACTATTTAGAGGTGATGTCTGCAACTTAATTTAAAATGGCTCCGGAAAAAAAAAAAAAGTGTGTGTATAGAAAGAGAGGGTGTGAAAGCAAGCCTGTCAAAAATAACTGTTGGTTAATGTAGATGAAAGGCATATGGGTATTCATTGTATATTTTTTCAACTTTTCTGTAGGTTTAAAATTTTTCAAAAGAAAATTAGGAGAAAACAGTTGGGAAGGAAATATACTAAAATATAAACAGCAGATATATTTGGGTAGCTTGAATGAGACATCCACATTTTTTTCTTTCTACTTTTCATTGTTGCAAACTTTTTTCAGTAAGTTTATGTTATTTTTATAATTTATAGAAAATAAATTTAAGAAATACCTGGTAAGGAATTCACATTTACAGAATTAAGCACGGATTTACTCAATATAGATGCTTAAAGACAAGTTTCTATTAGCAATGTATTGAAGAAAAAAATTAGAACTTCAGTGAACAGATTATTTTCTAGTATAAATAGTGCCTTTTTAGGGGTGTACTATTTTAATTTTGTATAATTTATATATAAGCCATTGCAGAAATATACATATTTATCCATATTTGAGCTAAAATTATTTATATTTTATTTTGAAACAGGTTTTATGGACTTAAATGAGGCCATGAAGATAGCTAGAATCTAGATAGGCAAAGGAGAGAAGCTTTTCTCTAGTGCAAGTAAATAGCATGGGCAAAAGCTTGGAGAAGAAAAAAATGTATAATATATTTGGGAGACTTTGAAGAAGCTAGCAGTATTGAAGGTTTGTAGTGGTGAACATTTGGTAGATAAGTGAGGGCTATATTACATAGAAATTTAAATACCAGAAGAAAAAAAAAGTTTTGGCTTTACCCTTTGGAGAATAGAAAGCTATTCAAAGCATTGGAATATTAAGTGATATTAAGAAAGTATGTTATAGCATTTATCACTTACAGATAATAAAATTAGTAATTCCCTCCACAAAATAAAAAATGTCATAGTTCTGTGTAAAGTCAACTCAAAATGATCATATCTCTCTTCTTGAATATGTTCTTTCTCATTTTCTCATCCTCTACTTCAGGTTTGGTAACAAAGAGGAATACATGGCATTCATGAATGATTTTTTAGAACATGAATGGGGTGGAATGAAGCGCTTTCTTTTGGAGATCTCTAATCCAGACACCATCTCAAACACCCCAGGCTTTGATGGTTACATTGATCTGGGCCGAGAGCTTTCAGTTTTGCATTCCTTACTGTGGGAAGTAGTTTCCCAACTTGATAAGGTAAAGTAGGTTGATGGAAGATAGAGAACTTGAATGTACCTGAATTCTGGAGAGTACCTATAGAGTGATAACACTCACTCTTTCTAATTAAAAGCAATCTTTACCTTGGAAATCTGAGAGGAAATGTTCATCACTTCTGAGTAAAATATGGGATCTACAACCATGAAATTCTAGAAAACCACGACATTATTAATATATATTTTTAATAATATCTGAATTAATGGGGTATGTTTCTCTAAATTTATATATACAGAGTGCATATCTGAAAACTTGACTAGACAATAATATATTGGTATATACAGCCTTATGCATGTCTAATAGGATGAAATGAAACTTCATATGGTAATTTCTAACAAAAATGTAGACTTAGCTAAGAAAATACTAGGTTTATCATGTTTAAGTAACTTTACCCATGAAACAAATTTTTTTTACTCTACAAGTCAGTTTCATGTAATTCTTAGTGCTAAAAGTTACTGTTTTCTTCCTTTACAGATGTGAATTAAGAATACAGAAACAATTATTTTTAATCATTTGTTTGCTAAGAATTTTATTATATACCATACTAATAAGTAAATGTACATCATGCCAATCATTTTCTTCCTTCTGGAATTTTACAAAAAGGAATAAATTTCGTAGTAAAAAATAGTCTAATGGAGTTTGGCTAGGCTGATTACAATAATTATTTATTGATGTTTTTGTTTGCTACGGGCACTTTATAAATATGTGTGGTGGTATGTTAGAATAACTTCAAAAGACAGTTATTTTTCTGTGATAAGGATTTATTTGTTTTCCTCTACTTTCCTGTTGATAAAAATGCTATACCAGTAAAATTTATTAACAAAGACTACTTTGCTGAGGAAACGTAAATGGTAGTGTGTCCTCCAGTGCATAGAACATTTGTAAAACAATAAACTGTTACTTATTCTTGAGGACCTTTTCTTCACTTTTAGAAATGCTAGCTAGATTTTTAAGTTGCAGCTATGCCAAAGGTAAATCCTTTTCATATGAATCATAGCCCAACATTGTTGAGCAAGTAAAGCTACTCTTCAGATGGCATCTGTACCTGTTTGAGTAGGGTAGAAGGGTCTGTTGATTGTTGAGAAGACACAGACCCAAAGGCAACTATGTCAAACTACCAGTTGAAGGGACCCATAAGGCCCCATGAGAATAAGAATTCCCTAAAGAAAAAAATAATTGAGATGGATAAAGAGTTAGTCTTTGTTGAATAACTGCATCTCAGTGGGATACGGATTCAGTTATCATGTGAAATAGGCCTGGTTTATTCAGGATCAAGATCTTTTTAACAGGCTTTGCTGTGAAAACACACTTTCTCCTTTTTAATCCTGGTTTGGTCCTGGGAACCAGGAATATATCTAGACATATCTCATAGAGAAAATTTACCTGATTTTGCTGTTAAATTACACCAAAAATTGTCTTAACTGATGGAAACTCAGTTGGCAGTGGGTCAGGGTTTCCAAGATTGCCTGTGATAGTGGATGGCAGTATCATCTGTGTGCCCTGCAGTACTCTGGATTCCTGAATGCAGCACCTTGTATGTTGGCATGCATTTCTTTTCTCACATGATCCCTTTTCTTTGAAAGTTTTATCATACTAGCTGATCCTGTGGTCTTGAAGTTCTTTTGGTTAGAAGGAGTTTGGTTCTTCCCTTACCCTCTCCCACCTTGATTTACTAGCCTCCCAAAGATTTAGTTTGCTTTGCATGCCTATTTTAGTTGGAATGGCATTAGTTTGGTAGTTTTGAGCATGTCTTTTAATTTTTATTTGCATAATCCTGATTTCGATTTCCTTTCTTTCCTCAATGTCTGCTGTACCTTGTTTCGCCTCCATTCATCTCGACGCCATGGTTCTGCTGCTCCATAACAATGCATTATGAACCTGCCACTCCCATATGCAAACACCTACCCTTCCCTCCAACCTACACCCCTCCATCAATGGCCATCGTTATTGCCAAAATCAATCTATGGTGGATGTCGCAATGCTTATTATCCAATTAGGGTGAAAATTCCTTCCTACAGGCGACCGTGGCAAAACTGGGGCCTCTCCCTCGTGTTCTTGCTGATATTACCAAGTCATTGACTAATCCAACACCAATACAACAGCAACTGAGACGCTTCACTGAGCATAACTCCAGTCCCAATGTCAGTGGAAGCCTCTCCTCTGGGCTGCAGAAAATATTTGAAGATCCCACTGACAGGTATGAAAGAGAGGATTTGACTACTATCTCAGAGAAAGATAATGTTTAGATTTAACAGAAGTATATTTAACCTATTTGTTGAATTTACAAGTTTAAAATCATGAGCAATTGAAGACTCATCTGACCTGAGAGCAAGCAGTCCAATTATTTGTTATAATAATGTACAAAATCTGGGATAACTTCTTTTCTAGAATGATAGTACGGAGAGTTACAATATATTCCACAGTATATTTTTAAAATTTCTATCTTGCTTAATGGAAGACTAAAGGTTTTATGAAATTGATGTTTCTGTATGTTTTAGCATTCAAAATCTTGAAGAACCTTGGTTAAAACCATTTTATAGCTGACTATGTGAGCTAGACAGGTAGACACAATATATGCTTAGAATGTTTTCTGGGTTGGCAAGACTTGTACCTTTCGCAGGGACCTTTCAGTTGTGCAATTAGAACTTCTCCTCTTGAAGGTTTAGACAAGTATGAATTGGAATATTTGAGGAAGGTTTCAAATGTAACTAGGAAATTACTGGAATCCTGGTTAAAACTGAAGACAGTTGTGGGTTGGTATCTACAGTGTTACTCTCGACCTTTGGGGAAAAGTAAAAATGCTGGATTTTATTCTAAGAATTGTAATAATTCCCTAATTGGATAAAATCTGAGTTTCCAAAGAAATGGAAATATCCACATAAGAACCTTCAGAGGACTTTATATGCCTGAACTGAGTCATCTTAGCTATGTTGAATTTGTCTCAAGAGAAATTAAGTGCCCTTTCCTTTTCCACAGTGATTTGCATAAACTAAAATCTCCAAGCCAAGACAACACAGACAGCTACTTCAGAGGGAAAACGTTATTGCTGGTTCAGCAAGCCTCCTCTCAGAGCATGACTTATTCTGAAAAGGATGAAAAGGAAAGTAGCCTTCCTAATGGTCGGAGCATTTCCCTCATGGACCTCCAGGACACTCATGCTGCTCAAGTGGAGCATGCATCTGTCATGCTTGATGTGCCTATACGCTTGACCGGAAGCCAGCTTTCCATAACCCAGGTGGCCAGCATCAAACAGCTGCGGGAAACCCAGAGCACTCCCCAAAGTGCACCCCAAGTGAGAAGGCCGCTGCACCCAGCCTTGAACCAGCCAGGTGGCCTTCAGCCCTTGTCCTTCCAGAACCCTGTCTATCACCTCAATAACCCAATTCCAGCAATGCCAAAGGCCTCTATAGATTCCAGTTTGGAGAACCTAAGCACTGCCAGTTCCAGAAGCCAAAGTAACAGTGAAGACTTCAAGCTCAGTGGACCCAGCAATAGCAGCATGGAAGATTTCACTAAACGTAGCACTCAGAGTGAGGACTTCTCCAGGCGGCACACTGTGCCAGATAGACACATACCTCTTGCATTGCCACGACAGAATAGTACTGGACAGGCCCAGATCCGAAAAGTGGACCAGGCTGGTTTAGGTGCCCGAGCCAAAGCCCCACCATCCTTGCCACACAGTGCTTCCTTGCGTAGCACCGGGAGCATGTCAGTGGCATCCGCGGCCCTGGTGGCCGAACCCGTGCAGAATGGGAGCCGGTCCCGGCAGCAATCCTCTTCATCCAGAGAAAGCCCTGTTCCCAAAGTGAGAGCAATCCAGAGACAACAGACACAGCAGGTAGGTACGAGTCCTGAGGGGGTCTGGCTTCTACTTGGTCTATCTAAACAGATATCTAAAGTTGGTTATTTATACATAACTAATTGGGAAATCCAATTGTTAGTAAGATTTCCACTTAAAAGCAACCTTTCAATAGAAAGAGGAAAGGAAAAATTTGGGAGGCTTCTGCCTAGGTGAGACTGCAGAATGTAGTTTGACTCATTACACTTAGGCATCTAACAAACTGCAGGGGCCCCCTTCTCTTCAAGCAGCAGAGCTACTATCTCAGTTTGCACTTAGAACAAATCTGTGATGTTGAATGAATAGATACTTAAAATCTGTAGGCCAAACCAACCATATTTTGGATATCTGAAAATTAATCCTTCTTAATTTTTTTTCTTAAGCTTCCAGAATAAAGGTTTGCACTCTGAGCCAAGAGTTAAATGTGACTGCTCTCCACTCCATCCCTCAATTCCCTGTGGAAATATAAAGTCCCATGTGCCTTTTCCTGGAAATGGCTACAAAAATAAAAACTTGAACACCTATAGAGTCAAAGTAAAGGAGAGAAGAAAAAGATAGATGCACAGGTGGAAAAGGAAGTATTCTAAACATTTCCAAATTGCTCGCATTTCTGTTTACATGGACAAGCCCAGCTAGCGTCACATCCAATCTTAATATAAAATTTTCTAATTTTTTCTTGACAAATAAAAAGCTTTGCCAAGAAATTAATCATTTCTTCCTCACATATTACATTTTGAAACAACAGTACATATTTTCCCTTTGAAACAAACTAGTGTTAAATATATATATATACACATACATATGATTTTTTCATATATAATATATATATATCTTTATATATCTTCCATCTAAAAAGATTTTTCTCCTAAAAAAGCATTGTTTTGTTGAATTTATTTTTTGAAACTTAATTATAGTGCTAGAAAAGAGTTCTATGACAAATCCTTTTTGCAGCAAAATAACTGGGCAGGGAGACTGTAATGAATCCCAGTTTGTATCTGTAATATATTTGCATGTTTACAGTTTAGGCACTTACTGATATGGCTGCTTCTGCTTCCAGTCTGCTGTGAGCAGAGCCCCTTGCCCCTACTTTGATTATTTAAAATTGGAATATTTCTAGAATCCTTGGATATAGAAACAGAAGAAGGGATGAAAAGCATGACTAACTTAAGCTGTTTCTGGAAGCAGACTTCCTAGGCTAAACCTCCTAGTTGGTCATTCTTTACTGAGTAATACAGTTTATCTAAAGTCTTATATTTTTCATTCTTATTTTGTTGTTTTTCCCAAAATTTCACCAAATCATTTGATTTAATAAGTACTTTTATTTAAAGAAAAGGAAAAATACATATCTTTTATGTGTATCTTATGTATTTTTTATATATAAATGTGTGTATATATAAACATAAAATGTATGTGTTAGGAGACTTGTGTTAGGAGACTATCAGTCGTTTCCACCTTATTGTGAAGCAGCTTCCTCATATTGCTTTTGTGCTATACTCTAGTTGAGATCAACTACTTTCAGAGAATTAAGGTGTTTATTAGGAGGAAAAGGGAAAATACGTAATTTTAGAAATTGAATACTGTGTAGAAGCAAGTAATCTACTCAGGGACTTAGAGCAGCACAAGGGCACTGAAGATAAAATAGGATTAACGAAGAGCATGAGATCGGCAGAGAGGGGTAGGACAGGGAAAGTGTCCTTCACCTGCTTTTCAAAAGTGTACTTAGAAACCTCAGCCCTGTACAGAAAAGGAAAATAAAGATTCTTTTTTTTTCCTTTTGCTTACCCATTCCTTCTGTACAATGGAGTCCTCAGTGACTCCATGAGGGCCCGTGACTCAGGCTGGTTGTTTATTAATATTATAAATTAAATAGCCTTTTTTGTGCCCATCTGGAAACAATTGTCATTTATAACATTTTTCCTTTAGGAAAATATAATATGTAATGCATAAGTACATAATACATGCTTCTGTGGGTTATGAATAGAGGACTGCCTGAATGGATGGGAGGCAGGAAATGCATGCAGTCTTCAAACAACAAATATAAAAATTAATTTTTGTGTCACAACCATTAATGCATCAGGGAAATATTTTTTGGCATGAAGTGGGGTACAGACAGTGAGATGTCCAGGTACAACTTTGAATATTCATTTCTGTTTATACTTTTGCTGATACTGCCACTGTCATATCAGTTGAAGCATAAATCACTGTATTTTGATTGCTCAAGTTTCTGGTTTTTTCTACACTGGTTTTTGGTTTATTATTTTGAACTTACATCATTAGTTTTTTATTTATTTATTTATTTATTTTGAAACAGAGTCTTGCTCTGTCACCCAGGCTAGAGTGAAGTGGCGCGACCTCGGCTCACTGCAACCTCCACCCCCAGGGTTCAAGCAGTTCTCCTGCCTCAGCCTCCCGAGTAGCTGGGATTACAGGTGCTCACCACCACATCTGGCTAATTTTTTTATTTTTAGTAGAGACATGGTTTCACCATATTGGCCAGGCTGGTCTCGAACTCCTGACCTCAAGTGATCTGCCTGCCTCAGCCTCCCAAAGTGCTGGGATTACAGGCGTGAGCCGCTGTGCATGGCCTTGTCTTTTATTTCTTGTATTTCTGTTTCTTGCTTGCTTTGTTCATCTCACTCCCATGAAGCCTCTGAAGTTCTATATAATCAGCACATTTTTAAGGCAAATTCCTTTACATATTTTAATTGCAAATTGTATGGGGAATTCTCTCCTAGAAACTAGAAGATTTCTTTGTGGGAATTGTTCTGTGGGCGGCTGTAATTATCAGTGGCTTTGTCCCATGCAAATTCCATTTATATCTTACCACAAAGGAGCGGCCATTGTCGGCAGAGTAACTGGCTTCAGTCTTCTACATCTAATGAGTAGGAAGAAAATAAAATCCTAGTGAAACAATTTACAGATAAATTTTTTTCAAGAAACTGTCTTAATTTTTTTACTAATGTCAGCTTCTGTTTAAAATGCTTTTTTCTTCAGCTTCTGTTTAAATTACTTTTTTCTTATTTTCCTCTCTATTTTGTTTTGGATGAATCATGTACTTTATACAAATGATAGACTTTATGTACAATAGAAGTCGTTCAGATTTAGCATGTTTCCTAATCTTAGAAATTTGAATTTAAAATAGATAATTGTCAAGCCTGTTAGTATGATGCTGCAATGTTCACATATGGATTTGTTGAACTGTCTCCTAACCGACCTCTTCAAGAACTCTCAAAGTTTACGTATTAATTTAATCAGCCCATTCTTTGGTGTTGATAACAGAAATGTTATTCATTTATGGGACTCCGACTGTTTCACACTATGAAGCTGAAACCAACTGGTCTTGTTTATATCTAGTAAATACTAGCAAGGAACAGGGAACTAGCCTCAGCATAGCCAGGCTATGACTAATTGTAGTATCAGTGAAACTGCTTTGTCAGGCTCTTTTGCCCTAAAGCATAACTATTTTTCCAGGGAAACCCTGTACAGCTTTATCTTGAAAGAAAGATATTCCTCTTGGGAATTCCTGTTCCTTTTTCTTTTTTATCTTTGATGATCATGTCGAAAGTCAGTGGTTACAAATTCTCTTTCTAAGGCTATTTCTAAGCAAGATGGGATCTGAACCACTTACTAACCTCCTCCTTCGATTTCTTGGACTACAAGCTAGAGATATTTTTTGCTGTTTATCCAACTTATAAGGAGATGGAACGATCATTGAAAAGAAGCCTTTGATTCCCTTCCAAAGTATTAGAGGAAAAACACAGAATATTCTTCTCTTAGTAATAAATTATATTTTAATAATGAATTCTAAAGATAATCCAGAATAATAAATGAGTAATATTTTATTGAGCATCTGTTATGCATTTAACTAGTCAGTATCATTTAAAAGAACTGTATGATATGATGCCCATTAGATTGTCTAACTGGAAAAAAAGAGTAACACTCATAAGATCAAGAATATATGTAAAAGATAGTATATAGTTTTTTCATTTGAAGAACATATTACAACAGAAAAAATTGTGAAGCAAAAATCACCTGTTTCCTTTCAATCCAGCACAATAAATATTTTTTATTTATTCAGTATTACTTTCCAGCCTTTTTACAATTTTGTGAAGGTTTTATCATTAATAGAAGGAATAGTTAGGATTGATCTGTTTTGTCACTTTTATTTTTATTATTTTGACCACCACTATATGCCAGGCAAAGTGCTAGGATATATTAGGAAGTGGCTGAAAATAAGATTTGACCAGTAAAATAGGAATAAACTGGGAATGCCCAGTTCCCATTACAATTTCTTGTAATTCATTGCCCATTATGTTAGTCTTTCTGAAGATACTGTAGCTACCACTGTCACCAGTGGATTGAACCAACCCTTGATTGTACAACTTCTCACTTATCAGTTAAAGCCTAGATTATCCTAAAGTGGTTTCCTGTTGTTGTTGTTGTTGTTGTTGTTGTTGTTGTTGTTGTTGTTTAATATGCTTTTAGGGGCCAAGAACTCTCCTTGGTATGTTCTTAGGAATACCATTAGTTTGCAGTGCATGTAAGGGCACTTGACAAATAGTTACCCATAACAAATCACAGGGAAAGTAAGTTCATTTAAGCAACATCTTGTTAACTATATAAACAAGTAACAAATTCCAAACAGTAAAGTTGTTATTAGTTTTAGTGTTACTTTATTTCAAACTGCTATAGAATAGGAAAATCCTGGTTTCACAAAAGCAGCTTTTCCATGCCCTCTGTGCTAAAGGGATCAGACTGTAAAACTAAAATGTCATTTCTCTCCTTTAAATATTGACTTTCTGTTAATTTTTTAAGACTCAATGCTACAGTCTTTTGCCTTCCAGGTCCATATATATCAAATATAAACTTAAACCCTTATTACTACTATTTTATTTACCAATAGTAAAGCAATTTATTGTGCTCTGATCTTAAAATCCAGTAGGGGGAGAACTATAGTGTCGGTGTATCAAGTATCTTGCAGTTTACAAATTTTTACATGCTATCTTATTTGTTGCTCATAATAACTTTTGATATGTGCAGTTATTATTTAACTTTTACAGATGATACTATATCGTAAAGGCCAATATTCCCACAAGTGTGAGTTTCAGAATTATTTTAGTGTATGCAAGGTACTTATTTAATTAATCATGTAATATTTTAATAATTAGAAAGATATATAACTATTAAAATATAAATATACCTATAAATATTAAAATGTATATAATAGCTGACTTACTATTTTACTGATATTGCTTAGCACAAGAGCTTAGCTAACTAAAAGAAGGTTGTCTTAAATGAGAACATAAGGACACAGGGAGGGGAACAACACTGGGGCCTGTCAGGGAGGGTGGGAGTAGTGGGTGTGGGGAGAATTTTAGGAAAAAAAGCTAATACATACTGGGCTTAATACTTCGGTTATGGGTTAATAGGTGCTGTAAACCATCATGGCGCACATTTACCTGTGTACCAAACCTGCACATCCTGCACATGAACCCCAGAACTTACAAATAAATAAAATAATTTAGTATATATAAAATAAAAATAATGGTTGTTTTAAAAGACAAAATTAGTAACTGTCAATGATAAGGTGGTTGTGATAAAAATAATGAAAGTGATATAAAAATAAAGTATAAAAAACACCTACATGCTATAATGGAAATAGACTTTAAGTACTAAGAGTTACTGAAATTTAAGACATGTTTATGTTCCTAGATCCACTGGAGAAAATGGCTTTATAGAAGAAATTTCTAGAAGTTCATTTACAGCTGCTTACTGTGTGCATGTCTATTTATATAAACTATACACATCCATCCATGAAGCTATTTTTATTGATACAGATCTATAATCTAAATTTAGGCATGAAGCTATATTTATAGATACATATATCTATAATCTGTAAATCAGCTAAACTAGATCCTTCTTCACACCTTTAAGAAATGTCCCGCTGGGCGCGGTGGCTCAAGCCTGTAATCCCAGCACTTTGGGAGGCCGAGGCGGGCGGATCACGAGGTCTAGAGATCGAGACCATCCTGGTCAACATGGTGAAACCCCGTCTCTACTAAAACTACAAAAAATTAGCTGGGCATGGTGGCACGTGCCTGTAATCCCAGCTACTCGGGAGGCTGAGGCAGGAGAATTGCCTGAACCCAGGAGGCGGAGGTTGCGGTGAGCCGAGATCGCGCCATTGCACTCCAGCCTGGGTAACAAGAGCGAAACTCCGTCTCAAAAAAAAAAAGAAATGTCCCTGTGTTACTTTTGCATGTATAAGTCTTAAAGTCTCTCCCAACCCATCTCTGATAATCTTTTAGTCTCTATAATCAATCTTTTAATCTGGTCTTTCTCACTCTCAAGTTCATCAAAATACCCCTTCTTTTAAAATATTTATTTAGAGTTTAACTGGGTTCTATTTCACAATGATATGAAGATCCTTCAGTTGTAATATCTGTGATGGGAGAGAAAATGCCCTTCAATTATGAAATTCTAGAATTCCGGTCCTCAAAATACAAATCCCTCTATTTAATTATAAAAGGCTAACTCACATACCAAGCTTTGCACTCTCTCTCTCGCACGCACTCTCTGTCTCTCTCTGAGGCATGACAGAGGGAAAAAAAATGTGTATTTCCACTATTGTTTGTGGAAAAAGAACTAATGTGCAGTAGCCTAATATGAACTGTAATATATGAACTGTAATAGTGCCAGTTTTTGAAACATAAAAATAGTAATGACTGACATCTAACGTTTCTGTAGCACTCTGAAGTTTCCAAAGAATTTTCACATATATTATGTTATCCTCACAGCTCCCTATGATACGATCGAGCTAGGTGGTGGTGGTGATGCTGATGTTATTTCTATTCAGTAGATTAGGAGAATAGTATTTAAGAGATTGAGTTAACTAAGTAGCAGAGTTGCAACTCTCTTACTTGAGTGTCAAGAATTTTTGACCCTGTGTATCTGTATTGGAAAAGGACAACTTACCTAACTATCCTAACTTGGGTAGACTACCCAGTATCCATCATTTTGATCCTTTTTCAAGAAATTTTCTGGTATAAGGACTCTTGAGTGGTCTTAACCTATCACAAAGTCAGTGTTCTGTAAAGATAACCAATATCACTTATCCTTATCTTTTTCTAAATTATCAATATGAAAACTAAGTAGATTGGTACAAAAGTGATGGCAAAAACCGCAATTGCTTTTGCACCAACCTAATATTTGGCATTCCGATATATAAATGAGCGCTTTGTGAGTTTGTTTAGCACTAATCAGTTTTTTGATTTCTGATTGTCTCTGGGTTAAACAGATGTTTTGACCATCAAGTTAAGCTTTCTTTCTCTTATTTTATCATCAATAGACTTTTATGGCATAAAAGACTTTTATGGCAGAGATCATTTATTAATTTCGCAGGCAATATGTTACCTACCAGCATTTGGGCCACTGGGCAAATTAACAATTTTAAGGCTTTGGCTTTCTTTAGAGGGAGAATAAAGCTGCTTCTTGGGTATGATGTATACAACTTTCTATTCAGAATAGTTTGCACTTATACAAATGGATATTCTCTTTTCCCACCCCTAGCCTTAGCGTTAGTAAAATAATACTTAAAGCTAAGAGCATTTATTAGAAAACTGAGAGATCACAGTTAACGTCTTCTAAGAATAGCTGTTTTGAAACATAGCATGTGGGTGAGCTATTAGGTGAGATGCTAATAATTGTTCCTGATTCAGGTTCAGTCACCTGTGGACTCTGCCACAATGTCCCCAGTAGAGAGAACAGCAGCCTGGGTTCTGAACAATGGGCAGTATGAAGAGGATGTGGAAGAAACTGAGCAAAATCAAGATGAAGCCAAGCATGCTGAGAAGGTAGAACCTAGTCCGCTTCATCTACTTACTGATCTCCAAATGATAGGCCACTAAAAGAATTATCTAGCTAAGAACATAAACTCCTCCCACCCCATCTTCACCTCTACCCCTTATATTAATCGTCCTATACATATCTCTGTAAAACAGATCTGTGGGGTGGGTGTGTGTGTGTGTGTGTGTGTGTGTGTGTGTGTGTGAATATACATGGAAAATGTTCATTTTGCTGGGGGGTGGCAGTTAGCTACTATTTTTCTTTTAATGTAGATGCCTTAATCAAGGGGATACTCTGCTATTCATTTCTAGTCATTTTAGGTAAGTATTTCGTGTATTTATAAACTTGTTGGTCTTCACCCAAGGACAAAATTACCCTAGGGCAAGACTTTTTTTTTTTTTTTTTTTTTCTTTTTTGAGGGGGGTTTTCCTTTATGTTCCCCAGGCTGGAGTGCAATGGCGCGATCTCGGCTCACCGCAACCTCCGCCTCCTGGGTTCAGGCAATTCTCCTGCCTCAGCCTCCTGAGTAGCTGGGATTATAGGCACGCGCCACCATGCCCAGCTAATTTTTTGTATTTTTAGCAGAGACGGGGTTTCACCATGTTGACCAGGATGGTCTCGATCTGTTGACCTCATGATCCACCCGCCTCGGCCTCCCAAAGTGCTGGGATTACAGGCTTGAGCCACCGCGCCCGGCCAAGACTTCTTTATCTTGGTAACAATTTGGTTTTGGTTTTAGTTTTTTTTTTACGTTTTCTGGATAACGAATGTATAGCTCTATAGATGACTGTTAAAAGGACATTATCTATTGTTTAGAGGTTGTTGTTTTTGTTTTTTAACAAAAAGTTGACATGGGGAAGAGAGGTTATTATCAAACAAGAACCTGGATATCATATATAGCATTTATATTGTTTGTCAACCAGACAATTAGCTTCTTTTTATCAGCATGATATTCCTGTGTACTCAAACCCCAGCCACAGCAACTACAGTACAGGAAAGGGCCATGTAACTAATTGAGTCACTGAGTTTATGTAAAGCTTCTTAGTGAGAACACAGACACGTATGTTCCAGCAAGCAGCACCAAATTGGGCAGGTGAGTCATATTGTGAAAATGGGCCAAGAAGCAATATTAATCGGCCCTGGAGAACATGTAGGCCTTTGTTTAGTGCTTGTGACTGGAAAGCAGCAATAACCTCTGCCATTAAAGTTTATTTATTGATTTAGGAGCTTAACATTATAGAAATGTTGCTTGTTCTCTTAAAGGGCTGATTCTAGTAGAACAAAGGAATGGCAGTCCGATGAGCTAAAACATGTCAGAGATCCTACAGTGCAGATAATGACGCAGAATCTTTTTCTCTTGTACACAACTGACTTTTGGCTTATTTTAAGTGATTTGTCAGACTTTAAAGTACTCCATCTGATTTTTGCCCACTTTCATTTGATGCCATCACAGATTGGATGTGGCTTGCAGTAATGGTAGCTTAGTGTAGAGGGAGATACATACATATGTAGAATTTGGAATGCCAAGTTAAGATTAAAAATGTAATTTTAGTAAGGAAGGCAATCCTCCATTAGCATTTATGTGAGTTGATAATTTTAAGAATATTAGGAACAGTATAGGGAATGACAGCACAGCCAGCATCTAGCTACATTGCTTAGGGTTTCTTTTGTTAAATAAATAAATAAATCACTAATTTCTAAAAGCAGTGTAACTCCAGTTTTTCTCTCCTTGCCTCCTCTGCCCTAGTATGAACAAGAAATTACTAAACTGAAGGAGCGCCTGAGAGTGTCCAGCCGGCGACTGGAGGAATATGAACGCCGCTTGCTGGTGCAGGAGCAGCAGATGCAGAAGCTGCTGCTGGAATACAAGGCCCGACTGGAGGACAGTGAGGAGCGGCTCCGAAGACAGCAGGAAGAGAAAGATAGCCAGATGAAAAGCATCATCAGCAGGTTAGACATCACCTGGCAGCAGATGTGGGCTAGTTAGGAAGACAAAGAATTAAGGAGATGATCCACAGAACCCTGAAGGAATGGCAGCAAAAGCCATTTTTATCCTTGTGGTACTCAGTACAAATGTGTTGATTGACTGTATCTCTTAAAATATCCTGAATATGAGACCTTGGCACTTCCTGTGAAGATAAAGATAATCTGTTTGTCTTTAACCATAACAATTAGAAAACATTAATGCTAGGTGGTTTACTTGAGAAATCTTAGAGGAAAACTGGGTTTTAAAAATGTAAATATCAGGCTGGGCATGGTGGCTCACACCTGTAATCCCAGCACTTTGGGAGGCCAAGGCAGGTGGATCACCTGAGTTCAGAAGTTTGAGACCAGCCTGACCAACATGGAGAAACCTCGTCTGTACTAAAAATACAAAAAATTAGCTGGGCATGGTGGCGCATACCTGTAATTCCAGCTACTTGGGAGGCTGAGGCAGGAGAATCACTTGAACCCAGAAGACGGAGGTTGCAGTGAGCCGAGATCACACCATTGCACTCCAGCCTGGGCAACAAGAGTGAAACTCCGTCTCAAAAAAAAAAAAAAAGTAAATATCCAATGCCTTAGACTAAATTAATCTTTCAAAATGAGTCCAGAAACATGGAAAGGAATTTTATGGGATATCTTTGGGGCCAGAGGACATCTTCTGAGAGTGCTACAGATGCCAAGGGAAAATAAGGGAGGGGTCAATTTTACCAAACACTTAACATAGCACTAGCCATAGGACACATACTTTTCTAAGCACTTTACACATAATAGTTTGTTTAATCTTTATCACAGCCTCCACTATGCATTGTTGTTATTCTCATTTTACAAATAAGCAACAAATTCATTAAGTCACTTGCCCAAGGTCACATAGTGATGCACCAGGATTTGAATCCAAGCAATCTGACTGCAGATTCCATGCTCATAACCACTATGCCTCAATATTTGTAAAGTGCTATGGACAGGTCAAGTAAACAACTGTTTGTTGTTTTAATAGTGTGGAGGTAATTGACAGTCTTTCTGAAAGGTGTTTAGGTAGACTGGCAGAATTAAACATCAGTGAGTTAAAATGGGAATGGCGGACAGAAAACAAACTAGACATTTAAGTGTATAGTACTCACTGAGGAAACGTAACTGTGCAAGGGAGGAGAAAGTGGGCCAGATTTAGGGTAACTTGAGATTAAGACAGGGTTGTTTGGTTTTTGTTGCTTGGTTTGATATTTTAAGGTGAAATAAGTTGTGCTCAGGAAGGAATCTGAGAGAGAAGAGGGAGGAAATGATTATGGGGTTACTGTCCAAAGGAGATGCAAAGGTATGGGATCCAGGCACAAGGAGAGAAATCAGCCTTAGATGTCTTCTTCCAAGGTGGCGGAGAAGAAAGAAAAGGTGGTTGCAGGTGTCTTATTAGGAAGGACAGAATATTGACTGTACTGAATTTTGAGTTTTCCTGTTCTCTACACTAGCTAGCCCTCTCTTTGAAGATGCTGATATTTCCTTCCTGCCACATTCTAGGCTAATGGCTGTGGAAGAGGAACTGAAGAAGGATCATGCTGAGATGCAAGCAGTTATTGATGCAAAGCAGAAAATAATCGATGCACAGGTAAGCAGGTTTTGAATCTAATAGAAGGCACTTGTTTATAACAACAATTATTTCCTGACTTCTCACCCTTGCAAATGCCAAGGCAGTTACCAGAAATGGGTCATTGAAAAGTTCTTGACATTATCTTTTGAAGACTAAATGAATGTCTGTGTGACCTCCATTACTTTTGCTTTCTTTCACTGGTGACAAGTCTGTTTACTCAGCAAAGCATTCGCGTGTTTATTGCAGTTGCTTGACACATCTCAACCTAGTGCATGATGGGGTTTGCTTCTTTCCTTATGGAAAGGAGGGCATTTTCTAAGGGAGTAATTGTGAAAAGTGCACTGCATGTGTCTGGCTTGTGACCTCCACTGACCATTGCTTGGCTGTGCTGTTCACGGTCTTGTCAGTCACGTCCACTGCCATCAACCTTTTGCCCCAGACAGTAATGGAATTGCCGGGGAAAGACAAGGTTGTAAAAAGGTACCTTTCCTTGTTATTGTTTTGGTTCAGGGTTTAGCATTGCTGCTTGGAATGTGCTTGGCTGCTCTTCTTTGTTGGTGCTGTGCTTAGAGAGCATCTTTTGATAAGACTTTAAAAAAAAGACAGGATTGTTGAAATCAGAACCTAGGCTTCTGCTCACTGTAGCTTATACCTGTGACACCAATGAGATAAAGGCTGCCAAGAGCACCTCATAGGGACACGTCAATGATTAGAGCAAAATCCAAGAGGCAGGAAATATTTCTAACTCCTTTTATTTTATTTTATCATTGCAAAATATGGTTGTATTTCTTAGAGTGAAACAAATAACAAAAAGCAGGTACAGTTTTGATAGTTTTGATAGTGGCTGATCTAGCCACTGAGTGTATTGCTTCCCTGAAGACAGCCTATCCAGGTTTGCATTTTTTCAACCTTAAATACCGTATCATATCCCTAAACTGTGAAAAAAAAAAAAGAGCAAGGATTTTATGCATAGATGGCCTACTCCCTTCTCTAGGTATCAGCTAGTAATCAACATATTTTAGAGCCCTCAGTATTCTTAAACATGTACTTAACAGTCTAGTTTCCTTACAGAGTCCATGTGAAATGGGATTTATTTTTCAACAAAATTGAGAGTGAGGCTGAAAGCACAGTCATGGAAAGAATGCTTCATGGGCCTCACACTTTAAACACACTAGACTTGGAAGTCAAGTGAGAGTTGTGATGATGCTCTCTCATCAGCACAGCTCCTTAAAATATGTTGAATTCTTGAATTCTATAGTTTCTGGATACATAGACATGCTGAGAATCAGAAGAAAGGTCTGTAGTAATTATCTTACTTGGTCCTTTGAAAGAAATCTTTTTAGATGTCCCCAGGATAGGTGAAGTAAGGGTAGTGGAGACGAAGCCATCTCACTATTCATACTACAAAAATTCATCCCAGAGACTTAAGAAAAACTGCCTGGATAAATAAGGCAATTGAGTCAGGAAAACTAATGTTGATAGATTTTCACTTTGGAAATTTTAATGTAACAATCTAAAGCAAGGAGAGTTCTATTAATAACCGCACCAGGAGAGATGGTAGTACTGAGATAGAACAGACTTTTTAAATAATTTCAACTGGTTTAAAAGTGTCAGCCTTGGCCAGGCAAGGTGGCTCACGCCTGTAATCCCAGCACTTTGGGAGGCTGAGGCAGGCGGATTGCTTGAGCTCAGGAGTTCAAGACCAGCCTGGGTAACATGATGAGACCCATCTCTACAAAAACTGCAAAAAATTAGTCAGACGTGGTGGTTCATGCCTGTAGTCCCAGCTACATGGGAGGCTGAGGTGGGAGGATAGCTTGAGGCCAGGAGGTCAAGGCTGTGGTGAACCATATTTGCGCCATTGCCCACCAGCCTGAGCAACAAAGTGAGACCCTGTCGTGAAAAAAAAAAAGTAATAGTCTTAAGCAGTGGGAGCTTGGGTGTGCCACAGTTGTGGTTCTGTACCCAGGCTGACAGGACAGCCTCATGATTAGCTCCTGAAGATTTCTACCGTATCCCCTAATTTGACATTAGGGCTAGGCAACTGAGTATAAAGCAGAAGTCACCTGCTAGGCATAGAAGGTAAAAGCCAGGGAGGGAATCTCATTGATTAGGGCTCAAATGCTCTGGAAAGTACAAACTTTCTCTTAATTAACCAGGAGGGTGTCATATGCAGGAATGGGAAAAATGTTATCCTCAAACTGTCAGACTGGTGGTCTGGCTAAGCTAGTTAATATTTTGAGTCTGTACTTCAAGACACTGGTTTTGAAATGGTTTGGTTCTCTGGACTATTTTGATACAATCAAGGGACCTTTCATAGATGAATATCCAGCTGCTTCCATTAACCACTCAACAGCAAGGACCACTCTCAACTAATGAATCAAATCATACTGGGATTGATTAAATATAGTAAATTGCCTACTCAAACACAGATGTTACTATATAATAAATTATTCTACCAGAGGCCCACTACGGATCCCTAAAGAATAGTTGGGATAAGCCACTCAACTATATTCGGAAAACCTCTGCACCGTGCATAGCACAAATCCTAAACACTGTAGTTAAATTTTAAAAAATTACAATGTCCTTAAAAGGAATGTTTCTCAATTCCAGGTGTTGGCTTACTGATACATTCAGATCTTATTATAACAAAAGACTTTAAATATCCTTTGGTGTTCTTTGTAATGAATGACTTTTATATCAGATCCTTTCTTTTGTAAGGATGAATCTTATCTCTTAAGTGAATGAGGGAGCAGAGCAGCTCTTCTGGCGTCATTTAATAGAATGAAGACATGTTTGGGGTGAAAGCTTCCCAGAGAAGTAACTCATAACTTTTATGTCAACACTTCCCAAAATACTACCAGCCAGGTGCCCAGTGAACTGGTTTTCATCTCTCTCAGTAGCCCTTTGCCCCCACCAGGAAAATCTTGTCCCTGAATTCAACCTCTGCTTCTCCCTGAGTCATTTCATGCTACAAAGCACAGGCCTGCATCCACCACTTTCTAACAGGAACTGCAAAAGGATGAGCACTCCTTTGGTGAGTTGCAGAAGCACCTGTCCTAGACTTTGTAGCTTCTCCATAAGGATCCTAGTGATGGTAATAAGGATCCATTTCTTAAATAGCAGACCAGAGAATGTGCCACCTTTCACCCCTGACCGTGAGGAGACACTGTGGCTCCAGAATCTCTCTATGTGACTCAGGTGGAGAACAGAGAAAAGCTTCCTCCTATGAGAAGCAAAGCAGCTGCCTAGTTACTGTTGCAAGTGATATCTCCGCTGTGTTAAATTACAGGTCATAAATGGAGATGAGATTATTCAAACAGGCAAGTAAACCCTGCGTCCGTTCTCTAGCTGAGCAGTTCCCAGCCCTGGCCCAGTGCACTGGCCTCCTACACATTCCAGCTCCTGCCATTCCCCACATGGAAATCCTTCCTGTCAGGCATGGACTAGATTGCTTTCCCTTACAATCCAGGCAGACTTTAAATGTCAGAGCATCTTTTGCCAACTGAACTTGACTTTCATAAGTCTCTAATTGATTTTTTTTTTACATTTTTGTTTTATTTTGAGAGGTTGGCAGTAGGAGGAATTACAAAGGAAATTTCTTTATGTGGAAACTTTCAGCTGTTTAGTAGGGGCGTTGTTTGGCATCAGTTGTTACCTTTTTAGGCAATAAGTAATTATAGTCATTCTTAGCCTTCTTTTTGACCCTTTAAAAATCAAATTTTTCATGAAGGACTGATTTATTTTTGGGTGAACCCTACAGAATCCTAATGTCCTTAGTATTGAGACTTTATAATTTAATCCCAATTCTGAAATATCTTTTCTTTAGTCATTCAAGAAATTATTAGTTACTCAGTTTAGAGATAGATCATTCCTAATAATGGGGGTGGAGGGGGGGGATATCATATTTAGCGCTTATCTCCTGTTTTCTAGTATTCACTGGCCAGTTCTTACCTACTGGCTTTTGAAAGATCTATATTTGTTATCCTAGTAAATGTCATTGGCTGTAATTTTTTAAATAATTTTTATTTTTAAAAAGCCTTGCAGCTCTTTAGTTTTGCGTGTCCTTAAAATGAATTACTTTCCCACAACAGAAAGCATCTTATACTAGATGAATGGCTCGTTAATCATTGATTTTGTATATCTTACCACATGGTTCTCCATCAGGGAAAGAAGGATTTTTTTTTTAGTGATAATGACAAGCAAGAGCTGGTATGTTGTTGTTTCTTTTTTTAATGTGCTTTTGAAACTGTGACAACCAGCACTGCTGTCTCACAGATCCTACTGTCCTGCCCCCAGGAAGCAGGAGAGTAAAGGGAAGTATTACTTGATGCCGTGGTGGTATGTGATTTTACCTAGATTTTCCGAGGGCCATGGTCTTCACTCTGCATGCTCCCAGCAGCATGTGTCCCAAAGTGCAGCACTACATGGCAGCCCTGGGTAGCTGCTGTTTTTATAGTAAGGAGCGGCACTAGCCATCAGCCCTGCTACCTCCTCTCTGAACTTTACCATGACTAAACTTTATCATGCTTTTCTCAGGGTCAATTTTAAAAACCCCTAGGGTCATAAAGTTCCTTTTGGCTTTGGGGTGGTTCCTCGTTTGTTATTTTCTTTTTAATTTTATAGGCATAGGTAAAGACTGTTTTCTGTGCTGTTTTATAAAAACTATGGACTTCATGTTAGAAAGGTTCTGAAATGATTTACTGAGCTGCTGAAGTTAAGATTAGGGTATCTTTCCTAATCTTTATAAGACTGATAACATTTTGATAAAATGATTTTATTAAAAAATTTTAGATAGTCCTATTTTCCTTTAGTTAGATTGCCTTTTTCCCCCCATTTTTTCCCCCTTGGTTTTTGCATGTGTATAGTCAACAATGCTTGGTTTCCAAATATTGTTTCTAAAGCATTTTTTTTTCAGAGACTCAAAAGTAAAGTGAAAGCAATCTCTGTATTGGGCAGCCCTCCTGGAGTAACTCTGAGCTGGAATGGGTCTAGGAGCCTGTGTTCTCTGTTTGTTCTCATGTGTTATGTTGATGGCATTCCCTTTTCGGCCACATCTCCCTCCCCATATTCAAGTAACTCCTTGGTCTGAGCTTTTCGGCTGCTTATTTCCCCTCTTGCTGTTGCATCCTCACCTTGTTGGTGACTCTACACTGCCACCATGTATTGTTTTAATTTTGAGCACAATGTGAATTCTTTCCAAGTGTGACTGATACGCCCTCTTTTGGGGCCAAGAACCCATAGATCACATGCTCTTCTCCTCTGTGAAATGAAACCTCTGGTGCTTCTTTCTTTGCCACCTAATTTCCATGTTTCAATTTTGACCAAAAGCACTTAGTATAGTAAGGCAGCTTGATACCTCTGTTGCATAGTCTGAAGTAACACGTGGTATCACTTTTACATGACAACCTAACGTCCCAAGAGATTATTAATAAAAAGTCCTGCTGTGCTGAAAGGAAGAGAGAGAGAGGGAGACAAAAAATAGAGACCCATTGGGCTCAGGGGAAGCTGAACCTGACCAGTGTGCAGAAAGAGGCAGAGACGTTCCATTTGTCTGGGAAGCACCATGCATACAGCTGTTTGACAGAAAGCACTGGACTAGTCATTCAGTAAAGAAAGCATGTTATCTCCTACCTGTAGCCTGAATAAAGCCATGATTGGTATGTTGTAGGAAAAACGGATCGTGTCCCTGGATTCAGCCAACACCAGACTGATGAGTGCGCTGACCCAAGTGAAGGAGCGGTACAGCATGCAGGTCCGCAATGGCATTTCCCCCACCAACCCCACCAAGCTTTCCATCACGGAGAATGGTGAATTCAAAAACAGCAGCTGCTGACGGGCTTTGTGAATAGACAGACTGTGGAAGGAGACCGAAGGAAACTGACCCACTCTCCTGTTCCCAGACCTTTACCTAGCCCCTCCAGGTTTACAGAATGTTGCTACTTCACAATGGCAATGTGGTGAGAAACTCTTGAATGAAGAAAGGAACCTTGTCTTTCAGGGCATAAGGCGACGACTTCCAAGGTCAATGCTTTTCCCCCACATCTCTATGTACATAGGGAACTTAGTTCTGGGCCATGTACAGAAAATACCACTGTAATATACCAAAAGGAAGTTAATAATGTAGATTACCTTTTTGATTATTACTATTTTTATTATTGTTTTCCTCTTGTTGAAAGCACTGCAGTTGTTAGAGGAAGTAAAGTAGGAACTGTTGTATGAGTGAGACATGAGCCCGTGGGTTCAGTAGGTAGAGACCAAGCATCTATCTGATAGAAGCACATGGTGTGCAATAGGACATTGTCAGAATGAATTTTTCAGGGATTCATCTACTAGTTTAAAAACCCCACTCTGGCCCCCTTGTCCTTTCAGAAAACATGCAAATACCAAGATCCATACAAAACAATAATTTATTCCACTGATCAACCAAGACTGGTTCTGTTTGGACAGCTAATCTGATTTGGGATTCACTGTTTCAGAGGACACTGAAAAAAGCTGTTGCTTCAAAACTGGACTTTAGGAGTAATTTTGATTGAACTCCTGTCAATATGTTTATTTCCTCTGTCTACAGCAGATGGGAATCTTCTCTTTTAGATAGGGGCTTTTTTTTTTAACCCCAATTGTAATAAAGGGTGTTCTTTTTCCTCTTTAGAGTTTACAAAACTATAAATATTCATGTCTCCACGTACCATCTTCATCTTCACATGTTCACTGCACTTTCCTCCCCATGGTGGGAGCTGTCATCACCAACAGGGTTTACTCTCCCCTGGAGAGGTTATTTAAATAGCTGTCCATAAGCCATCCAGATCAACACCCTTTCTTCCATACAGAAAAGGGCTAACCATACCATAGCTGGAATCTCTGAATATTTCCTATTAAAAATTTTTTTCTATTTGTTAAGTTACAGTTTTTGTTTGGGATAAAGATTTTATCCATTCAACTAGCAAATTTATAGACAGGGTAATTTTATCTCCCTCTTTAACTTTTAAAGTGCTTCTTCCCCTCATCCCCTCAGTAAAGAAAGGAAATCCAAATCTGAAGCATCACTCTCTTAAAAGTGATGATTACTCATGTTTAAAAAAGAAAAAAAAAATTGAAAGTGTCAGGATGGCACATTCCAGTTGTTATTCCCATGCTCTTGGTAGATCTGTCAGTAATGACCCAATTTCAACTTTTGTCATCCATAGTTTTATGATTACAGAACAGAAAAAGTCATGGAGACTAATTCATTTCCTTTTTTCCAGAGGTATGAACTGTCATCTTGAATGCAGCCTTGATTAACAGAAGTATGGAATGTTACATGTTAAACAGACATTATATATACAAATATATATATATATATACATATATATCCACACATATGTACATATAACTGCACAAATAGGAAAAGTTCATGCCTTCTATACTGTTCAGATATAATGTTAAAAGGGTCTTGAACCTCTTTAAGCAAGATCTTAGCAGTCGTTTTACGTTGAGAAAGCAACAATGTTTCTCAAATAAGTTTATGTCTATTTTAAATTATAAGCTTTAAAGAATTTTTATTCTAGAAAAAGGGGATGGAAAAAAAAACCTGAGGGAGCCATATGCATCAAGTGAGTGTTTCTCCATAAGAGAAGAAGGGAACATGTATAGTGCCATCTTTTGAGTGATACCCAGACAGACACCAAGCCCTCCTTTTCACAGAGTCCCAGGCTTACATTTCAACTTCTTGAGCTCTGCCCTTTCTCAGGTGGATCTTTGTGATGAACCTTACATTTTAGCAACCTCACCATGGCCACATAACCCATAACCTTTTAAAACAGCCTATTTCATAGCAGTCCCTGTTTCTGCCAGACAGAGATCTAAAATGGGAGCTTCTCATTGTGTTTATGTGATGTGCATACTTTATATCCAGCTGTTTTGACACTTGCATTTTCTTCACCTTTGGTATTTGTTTTGCAAATTCTCACACCTTCTCTCCAAGCTGAAGGCACGCTGTGGTCAAAATCACTTATTTTATTAGGAAAAAGAGGTAACTGTCCTGAAGTGCCCTTTGTTGGAGGAGGAAGAATGTAAGCATAGATGTGTTCTTGTTTCGGCTATTCTCAGCTCAAGCCATGTTTAATTGATTCTTTGTAAAAGCCTTCAGTTGTGCCACAGAAAACCTTGTAAGAGAACTGTCAGTTTCATTGACCTTAAGTATGTAATGTGGGTGATGTCTTGCCATTGAGTTTGGGAAGCTCTTAAGTGCTGATTATGGATTACAGAGGGCTGATAAAATTACCTATATTGGGAATCGAAAGAAGCCCAAAAAAATCAAATGTGCTTTTGATGGATAGAATGTATCATATTAGCATCATGGGAGCTGCTTAGAGGGCTCTTCATTGGAAGATTTAATGCCCAAAACATTTGGACAGATTATGCAGCCCTCTACTACCAGATTATCTTGAATGAAGAAGAAATAGTAAAAATAGTAATAATAACAGTAAGAATGTTACAAGTAAGCTGAAAGTTCAGAGTTGTTGACAGACGTTAAATGTTAGATTATCCTGTGAGCCTACTCCTGTCCAAACATTTTTCTCAGTATTTCTTTAGAGAACGCTGCAATCTGTAGAACCTACTCTGAAGGATTTTTTAAGAAGAGAAGCCAGCAACAGGTGACAATTTTTATGGAGATGTTTCTTTATTGGCTTTTCCTCAGTTCAAACAGGTATATAACTTTGCTTTGCTGAGAGGAGGAGGTACATGGCTGAAGAGAGGCAGATAGATTAAGAAAGCAATGTCTTGCACTTCCTGTTTCCCTCAATACAGCACCACATTGTGGGGTGCAGGATACATCAGGGTTGAGTGGAATTTGGAATTCAGGTGGTGCTTGTAAAGTGCTTGTCTAGCTGATAACAGACTTGAACATTAATGAGGACAGTGTTGGTAGGAGTTAAAAAATATTCCTATTACCTTTTATATTACTGGAGCAATAAGCAATCTGAGCTGAAGCAGCAGAAAGAGTCACATTTCCTTCAGGTCATCATATTCCCTGGATCTCTGAATAAAAGCTATGTCAGAGGAGAGATTATAACTATGTAACTCTAAGAAGCACTTGAGCACTTGCTATGTTCCAAGCACTATCACCAAGGTACTGTTTGGGTTTCTGGCAGTCTAACAGTAAGAAAAAAGTGAGGTAATCATGTTGCTATAGCTTTTTCCTTTTTTTCATATGGTATCAAGTTGGTCAGAATTAGATTTCTCTGACTGTTCTGCTTCTGTGTTTCCCTGTGATGGTGTTAAGACTATGAAAGAAAAAGAAAGATTACCTAAGACTGCTGTGAGCATTAACCTATGCCCCTAAGAATGAGCTTGACTTTGGAAGTAAAGCTTTTCAAATCTTAGTCTACCCAGGGCCTTCGTTTATGGGTCTGTGGCTCTATAGACCCCTGGCTTTCACTGTGTTCTCAGAGGTATACCAGATTGGGAGCAGAGTTCTCCTTGGGAAGCCCCAGAGCAAAAGAACTGCCATCAGGTGAGTTTGCATTAGGATTTGTTTCCCCTTCCTCGAGGGCTGGTTTAGTTATCTCTAGCCTGGAGTTCCTGAGAAGGCTGGTTACGGGACTGAGCTTGGGAAAGGAACCCTCTTCAGGATTACGTCAGTCCCGTAGTCTACTCCATTGTGACCTTGAGCCCCATGCAAGCTTGACACCAGACTCGACTTGTCACTGGGCCAAACCCAACAGCCACATGTCACAGCTTCACTGCATTTTCAGCTACACCTTTGGATTCCATCTTCTCCTGTCAACTGTGGAAAGCCTAAAGGGCTCTCTTCTCCATTCCCCCCTTTTTCAAGTCTAATAGTGAAATCTCCTGCTTACCCCAGCAGTAAATAGTTGCCTTCCTACCCCTTACCTGGGGGCCAGTAATTTGGGATACTTTGTTTTTTCAATATGCCAGTCGAAGGACTTAGTTTCTTAAAAGCAAGAAAGGAGTGTTGAATTTTTAAATAGAATCTCTTTTCATGTTTGAATGATTGTGTGTAGTTCTAGAGGCATTCTTGTTGTCATGACCCAATTATGTATACTCTTGGGTTTAGGAAGGACAAAAGTGATGAAATTTGCATGAGATAGAATAAGTATCTTAGGAGGAGTGAAAGAACCTTAGGAAGAGACTTGACCATAAGGAAACAAATGCATCAGCAGTCTCCTCAGTAGCCCAGAGTTTCAAGGAAACGGGAAGATTTCTGTCCTTTGCACACTCTGAAAATACGTAGATACATAGAAAGGCAGACTCTGTAGACAACACATGCACACACCCACACAAAACACAACTCCTGGGGCTTCCTTTTTCTGAATGTTAATCCATTTTATGGACTAGTGATTCCCAAATTTTGAGATTTTCAGATTTTATGCTCTTGTTAGCTTTTATGACAGTCATTCTAGATTCATCCTTAAAAATGTACTATATGTGTTATATGTATATATACGTTAAAGTGACTTGAAATTGATTTGGTTTGGCATTATCTCAAGAACCCTAGATATCATTATTGATACCATGGGGAATCATAGAAATAAAGTTGAGTATCACTGATCTGAGAGTAGGATCCAAAAATAAGTAGTTTCAGTTCCTGATCAGTTAAGCCTCAGGTGTTTGAGTACCCAACACAGCAAGACTTGGGGAATGCAGTGAGCCACCCAAGGAACGGAAAATGGTAGTTTTTGCCCGTATTCAGCATACATTTTAATTTCCTACTCAGTTGTTATTTTTCATTTAAATACCCTCATTTAACCCTAGGAAGGTTGGGTTTTTTTGTTTCTTGTTTTGTTTTGTTTTAGTTTGGGACTTAAAACCAGATTTATTTGTTGTTATAGAGAGATTTCCACAGAAGTTGTGTTTTAGGGACCTCCATCATCTATGTGGGGGTACAGATATTTATGTATAAATACATCTTACATGATTTCCAAACTTTCCAGGGAAACATTTCAATTCCCAGTTCAACAAAAGGTTAAATACTAATTGACTCAATGACCACCTTCAGAAAAGCTAAATAGTAAATTAGGTTAAATTTTGACTGGTGCTTAGACCTTTCCTAGTTATATTAACTTAAGCAGACAGCAGCACATTAACCTGAGTTACACCTGTGAGGAATTTACCTTCTAAATTTGATTTTGTTTTTCATCTCCAGGGCCTTAATAAGAGTGTGTTAACACACTACTATTTTACAAGGATAGCTCTAAATAATTTATTTTTTATTTCAAGAGAGAGAAATACACCTTAGAAAAACAAAACCCAAGATTTTATTTTATTTTTAAAGCCATATTTTTGTGCTAGTAGCATTTAGATTGTTCCATATGTGAGATCCATATCTGCATTTCATTACCTGGGTTTGTTCTAAAGAAGATTTATTTTTGTTCTGTGAATAATTTTTGATGGTTCTTGTACATGTACAGATATAGATACGTTTGAGGTCTTTTATTGCTATTCCTACAAAGACTACAAATAAACTTTAACTTTAAACATTTCAGACTAAAGTTGCTACTATATTTGACATATTGCTGTCTTCTAGCATGCACTTGGGTGACAAGGACACTTGGAAAGAAATGAGAAATGAAACATATAACAGAATATTATTCTGAAGATATATTTTAACATTAAGAACAGTCTGTCTTAGCATTTCCCAAGTTCCATGTAATAAGATTTCAATTTAGGACAAATAAATAGTATTAACATGTATTGTGATAAAGCTGTTACTTTCAAATTCTGCAGAATTTGAAATCTCTTTAGTAACTTGTGGCAGGTAAAGTTTCCTCTGGTTATTAGGAAGTGTAGCCCCACTTAGCTTCCTAGACCACTACTATCCTCCATACTTCTTCAGTTAGATTAATGGGGTTGTTTTCAGGATTTTTGTTGTTTAGTTCAGGTTTTTTATTTTAAATTCTTAATAGAAGTTCATTTGTCATTCCCAAGTTTATTGTTCCCAAATACACCCGTCTTCTCCTGTATCCCTGTTTCATTCTGTAAAATCCAGGGATGCAGGTTTCATGTGTAGTCTTATTTTGCATTAGTTGTAGGTCTATGCTTTTTGGCACATCTTGAGTTCTTCCTAATCTTGTTCTACTAGGGATTAAAAAATTATAATTTACTCAAAATCCAGAGAAGATTGAATGAAAGGGAAACTGCGTATCCGTAGAATTGTGCTACTTTTTGTTCACTTCGAAGCTGACCCATTTCAGTCTGAATTGTTCGTGACCTAATGTAAGCTTTAAGACTTCCTGGATCTGAAACATCCAAAAGAGAGAAACTGTTGATGTCTTTTTACCTCATGGTCCTCTCAGCCCTAAACTATCCACCCATAAACCTTTATGCATATCCATACCCTGTAGTTGTTTTTAGCCTCCCTCTAGCTACCTGACTTTTTTCATTTGCATTTTTACCAGTGGGAAAATACATAAATTAATTTTGTTAGCAAAAAAAAAATTTTTTAATGACAAAGGACACTAAAACAGATGACTAAATCAGTGATTTTCAATCCTGATCATCAGAATCACTGGGGAGTTAAAAAAAAAAGAGGGGTACCTCCTGAGCCCCACCATTGAACAATTAAATAGAATCTCTCTAAGGATGGGGCCAGGCCTTTTTTTTTCTTTTTAACCTTGCCAGAGGATTCCGAAGAGTCAGGGGGTAAGAACCACTAGTCCAAATCAACCTCTGAGCACTGTGTGTAGGGGCCTTAAAATATTTTGTGTCCCCAATCCTGAAACTGGGATAAGGTGGTTACAGGTATTTTCTTACCTTCTATTTGGAATTTAAAATGCTACTAAAACTCATAATATATACTTAAGCTTCCCACACACACACCTTGTCCCCACCAATCCATCCTTTAAATCTGTGAGGTAGAAATTCTCTCCATTAACATATGGAATTGATACATTCTGACAAAGCTGATCAGAAGACGGAATTCCCTGTTTTGATGCCAGTTTCCCCACTGGCTTCAATTTAAAGCAGAAGGTAGATGGCTTCTGGTTTGGTGTCAGAAGCTTCAATGAGTACACCCTGCAAAGAGTGCTGAAGGGCCCAGGCCAGAATCAAATATGCTGCATTTGACTTTAAAGAGTTAACAAGGCCGGGTGCAGTGGCCCACACCTGTAATTCCAACACTTTGGGAGGCCAAGGCAGGCAGATCATGAGGTCAGGAGAATAACACCATCCTGGCCCACATGGCGAAACCCTGTCTCTACTAAGATACGGGCATGGTGGCACATGCCTATAGTCCTAACTACTCAGGAAGCTGAGGCAGAGGTTGCAGTGAGCCAAGATCGCACCACTGCACTCCAGCCTGGCCACAGAGCAAGACTCCGTCTCAAAACAAAAACAAAAAAAAGTAAACATAGAGAACTGAAAATTCCTTTGTCTACCTCCACCACCCCCAACCAAAAAGAAGGCCCCTAACTACAAGGAATAAACAACATAGAGAACTCAAAATTCCTTTGACTGCCCCCCACCCAAAAAAAAGGTTCTTAACTTTTCTTTACCTAAAGTCTTATTACTTGAAACTTATCAGTTGCTAAATTACACCATCCGTACTTGTTTTTTCAATAGCAAAATATACCAAAAGCTCTCCAGTACCCCTGTCCACTCCTGGCAAGCATACAGTCACGTGCTCATGTGAATTTTCCAAAATCATGAGCATTTTGTAAGATTCAACTGGTTCTATGAAATTATAATAAAGAGTATTACATATCTTATTATAATTTGTATATTGTGTGCTATATATTCTTTATATCAGTAAAATTTATAATAAACACATATACATTATATACTTACAGACACACATTACTGGTCTTTCTAGAAACTTGATTTTGTGAAATTCTAGAATAAATTGCCAGGGTGACATTTGTTTGGCCTATGAATAAATTGCAATAAACTAACAGGTAAATGCCAATGTTTCCTTGTCTGTAAAATTAAGATTGTGGCTAACTGGTCTATAGGGTACATCTAGCACTGACATCCTGTGGTTATTATCTGATATAATTGAGAAATGTATCCTTAGACCACGTTCAAAAATCAGCTTGAAGCTTTTCTCCCAGTATTTAGAAACAATTCTTCCTCTTCACAGTCTCCCATGGCACAATACTTTTTAGGAACCAAAAATAAGTCTGGAACAAATGTATATTCGGAACACTATGGTGATGATGTTGATAATAGTAGCCGACCAGGCATGGTGGTTCACTCCTAATAATCCCAGCCTTTTGGGAGGCTGAGGCAGAAGGATTGCTTGAGCCCAGGAGTTTGAGTTTGCAGTGAGCTATAATTGCACCACTGCACTCCAGCCAAGGTGGACAGAGCAAGACCCTGACTCAGTAATAGCTAATGTTCATTGAGCACCAACTGTGTGTCAGATTATTTGCTGAGCACTTTATATGGAATATATAATTTAATCGTAACACCAACCATATGAGTTAGCCCTTATTATCGTTCCTATTTCATGAGGAAACTGAGGCTCAGAAAGACTAAGTTACAGTTGGGCAATGGTGGCTCACGCCTGTAATCCCAGCACTTTGGGAGGCCAAGGTGGGTGGATCACCTGAGGTTAGGAGTTCAAGACCAGCCTGACCAACATGGTGAAACCCCATCTCTATTTAAAATACAAAAATTAGCCAGGTGTAGTGGCAGGCGCCTGTAACCCCAGCTACTCAGGAGGCTGAGACAGGAGAATCGTGAGAACCGGGAGGCAGAGGTTGCAGTGAGCCGAGATCGCACCACTGCACTCCAGCCTGGGCAACAAAGAGCCAAACTCCATCTCAAAAAAAAAAAAAAAAACTAAGTTACTTTCCCAAAACAATGGATAAAGGCAAAACTAAGACCCAAACTTAGATCCCTCTGAATGTGCTGTCTTGACTTGAAAAAAAAAAGCTTGGGAAAAACGTTGGAGAGGATAAGAAAAGATCCTAGCACATAACCAACTTGTCACCATGAGCCAAAGTGATGGCGGTGGAACAAGATGAGGTCTTATTCCGTAGGCTTTCCACATTAATATATTGGTTTTTTTAAGACTGCAATGTCAAGTCATCTGACTGATCAGAATTAAGAGAGTAGGTAGAAGTCTCACCTGTCTCAAAAATTGGTCTTTCATTTCTTCTGGGTCCATCAGAGCTGAGATGGTAAAATCTGCTTTCAGGATTCCAAAAGGGTGCCCTGAAAAGGAAATGCTACCTGTTCAGGAGGATATTACCCTATTTCCTTTTGAAAACTTCAAGTTCTAGGCAGTCAGGAGCACCCGGTGGACAGCATAGATGCTACATGCTGATTTGGGATTTCAAGAAGAAAGAAGAAAGAAACTGCTGAGCAGAAGAATGCTCAGCCATAATTAGGACCAACCAATTAGTGGCTGAAAAAAGAGTCCCACACTTTGGGATAATGCGGGCTCTTCCACAGCCTGGCTACCCATCAGGCAATTATTTTCTTTATTGTTTCTTCTGCATTTTTCTCCTTACTTTTAATCCAGTAAGTAGATACTCCACACCGTGCTGGAAATGCCTCTCTTTGGGTTCCCACCACAGAAAACTCTTAAAAGTTCTCTGGCCCTTTAAATAATTAGCCTTTGTGCATCAGCCACCCATAATCATCACAGGAGTTACAATCTCATGTACATTTGCATTTCATTTGATTGTTCATGAAGTTTATAATCACCTCAGGTGCTCACAACAACCCTATGATATGGGCAGGGGAGTTTTCACTACATCATCCCCTTTGCAGAAGAGAAACAGAAATTCAGAAACTTCTTCTGTAAATTTTCATAATAGTCACAGAGCATAAACCAGAATCCACCTCTTTATTCCTATCCCTGTTCCCAACATTTTGTGCCGTCTTCCATGAAAAGGTCTCAAGGGCCCTGTGCTAAGAAGTGACTGTCCAGATTCAGCTGCTCCACTGGTAAGAGTGGGAACTTGGTAGACAGAAGCATTTACCTGATTTTGGTGTTGATGTTTTGTCTTTAGATTCTGAACTCAAATGTTGGGCCTCCGTGGCAGCAGCTGTATCTCTTCTGTCAGTGCCACTCCCTACACTGGTCACAGCTACAGGAGGGGAAAATAAAAGATTTATTGCAAATACAACCAGGAGTAAGGTGGCCTGATGCTAGTGACTGCCCCTAAGCTAAAGGACAGGCAGGGACAACCACTGCTAGCTGCTGCGTAAACAGCAAGGTGGGACGCTCGGTGCCTGCTGATCCCTGACTCACCCCCACAGGCTCTTGGACCCAGCTCTTGAGTAGCTACACCATCATCTTTCAGAAAGCACCCCTGGCAGAAGGATCTGTGGGGCCTGGGCAATATCAGGAGGTTTTTCCTCATCAAAATTTCTTTGTTCAGTAGCCTATGCTCCCAGGGGCCCAATGTCCTTATTTTGTCTGCCAACTACACAAAGCCCCCACCGTGGCACCCAGGGACACTCAACATCTCATCTCCATCCCAAAACAAGTTCAGCCTCTCCCCCAGCACTCCCTCTTCGCTTCTATGACTGGCCATGCCCAGAGGTGCTCCAGCCAGAGACCCTGGTGTCCTCAGTGGCTCCCTTGCTCCCGTCTCACCTGTTCTCATGTTCACTCACCAAAGTCCTGTCAGTGCCTTGCAGATGTCTTGTTATTTTTTCAAATATGGAAATAATGCTTTTATTTGGAGTATATCGTAAAATATTTAAGCAAATATATCCCCTCTCCAACCCAGGGACACCCATGATTAACACTTTGCTGTAGAAGGTCCTTCACACTCTTGAATTTGTGAATTTGAATGTGTAAAGATCTCCCTTGCTCGCTTTAAAGGCTGCATAGTAATATTTCACTGAATATACCTTAACTTAACCAATCTGCTTCCAGTGGACATTACGTTGTTTCCAGCTTTTCACTGTAATAAATAATGCTGCAACAAACAACCCTGTGTGTGGAGGGTGCATATCTATGTGTGTACCTCATATTATTATTTCCTTAATTCCCAAGGGTAGAATTCCTGTACGAAGGAGTTTGCACATGTTGAAACTGACACAAATTCCGATACCAGAGTAGTAGCCCCAGTTGACACACCTACTGTGTCCGAGATCACTGTTTTTCCCATATTCCCAGCATGATCCCCCATTCAAATCTTTGCCACACTAGTAAGTACAAAAATAAGTTTTAAAACTACATCTTTTGGCTAGGTGTGATGGCTTACAGCTGTAATGCCAACACTGGGAGGGTGAAGCAGGAGGATTGCTTGAGGCCAGGAGTTCAAGGCCAGCTGTGCAATATAATGAGATCCCATCTTAAAAAAAAATTAATTAGTCAGGTGTGGTGGTGTCTGCATGCAGTTCTAGCTACTTGGGAGGCTGAGGTGGAAGGATTGCTTGAACCCAGGAGTTCAAGGCTGCAGTGAGCTATGATCATACCACTGCTCTCCAGCCTGGGCCACAGAGTGACACCTTGTCTCTAAAAACAAAAAGAAAAAGTTAGCATCTTTTGTGTGTGTGTGTGAGATGGAGTTTCTCTCTGTCACCCAGGCTGGAGAGCAATGGCTTGATCTCAGCTCACTGCAACCTCCGCCTCCCATGTTCAAGCGATTCTTCTGCCTCAGCCTCCCCAGTAGCTGGGACTACATGCATGCGCCACCACACCCGACTAGTTTTTGTATTTTTAGTAGAGACAGGGTTTCACCATATTGGCCAGGCTGGTCTCGAACTTCTGACCTCATGATCTGCCCACCTTGGCCTCCCAAAGTGCTGGGATTATGGATGTGAGCCACTGCCCCAGGCCGAGTAAGCATTTTTTAAACTTTGCATTTGTGTGGTTCAATGAACAAAAGCTGGGCATTTTTAAAAATGTATTTGTATTGGTCCTTCAGTTAACGTCACCTGTGAACAATGTAAAATCAATTCCCTCATGTCGCTTCCCACTCCAGTGCTCCAGAACAGGCCTCAGTTCCACTCACCCACGCTGTGCAACATTCTTTCCCCACACACGTTTCCTGTCTCTCCTTTCCTGATTGGCCACCCCTCCAAAGGCCTCTTTGCCCACCCAAAGCATTGTAAATTTATTTAATGAAGTGGATAAATATGTAAAATTCCGAAACACAGAAGAGGAGGAAACATCCATATTCTCATCCCCTGAATGTAGTCACTGTTAACATTGTCACACATCTCCTTCCAGACTTGATTCCTATGCATTGTTTGATATTTCCTTCCAACCTGTTGTGACTGTATTGTGTACAAAGCATTGATAGTGCCATTTTCACTTAACATCCTAATACAAGCACTGTCTACGTCATCCTAACCACCTTGCTTCTGGAAACTACAGATCTGAGCATTCTGCTCACCTGGGAAAACCTCTGCTGGCTCCACTGGGGGGGAAATCAAGTCCTTCAGATTTTGCCCCCAGTGTACCCCTTTCTCCTCACCCCCTGCCACTCCCTTCCCCAGTACATGGCCCACGCCAGTCACATCAAACTGCTTCTCATTCCCAAACAAACCATACAGTTTGACATCTGTCTTTACCTATGCTGTTCCTTCAGCCAGGAAGAACTTCCTAGTCTTTTCTGCCAGATGCAATCCTCCATTGTTACACCTTCTATGCTATTGCCACCTTCCAGGCGGAATGAAATGAATCGCTTTCCTGCCACAGCTCTTGGTTCACACTTCCGTGCAGCACCTTCCAACTGTCCTGGCTGTCTCCATTAGTCCCTGTGAGACCATGTGCTTCTAAAAACAGGAAACAGCCCTGCTCATCTTGGCATCCACAGTTCATCCACAGTTCAATGCCTTCTTCAAAACAGGTACTCAGGAAATGATTGTCAAATTAAATTATCTACCAGTGTGCACTATCCCAGTCCTTGGAGAGATACAAAGAAGTACAGAACAGCCTCTGCCCTGTGAGATTCTGCAGTCTCAATAATTCATAATTGTAGTCATTTATATTTAATAAAATGAGAATGAGGCCAGCTCCATCTATTCAGGTAAGGAGAGACGTGAGAGAAGGATGAGTCACTAAACGTTTCACTAGAGAATTGAGATTAAAATGGTAATAACTACCATTTATCAAGTGTCTCCCAGATGCCAGGCATTGAGAGATGAGAAAACTAAGGCTCAGAGAAGTTAGGAAACTTGCATAATGCCACACAGTAGGTATTGGAGCCAATATTCCAACCCTTGACTGTCAGACTCTTGCTCTTAGAACCAAAATGAATTATTTCTCCCCCAGATCACCCCACTTCGCCTACATCTCCATCCATCCTAAATTACCCAGGGACGGCGAGACTGAGCTGGCTCTGGCCAGACAGGACCCCTGCAGAATGCGCTGGAATGCAGCTGGGGTGGGGAGACTGGCCCAGCACACACCATCCCCACACCACACCCCACCTCTCATCCTCAACTCCCTGGCCTGCGCCCTACCCATGGAAGCCAGGCCTGGTCGCCCCAAGAAAGGAACTCCCCAGGGTGCTGGGGCCTGCCTCAGGTAGAGGTCCTAACTTAGAGCGACGCAGACAGGCACCTGTTTGGAGCCCTGCCCAGCTCCCAGCTGCCTCTGGGCGGGTGTTTTGGCTCAGGGCTGCAGAGTCAGGGGGCGCAGTTGTCCTCTGGGGCACGGCTGGGCTCCCTGAGCCAGATGAGTCCGAGATGCTTTCTTTGGTCCCCAGAGAGCTCTCGGGAGCCTGGGAGCCGAGGCCCCGGCTGGATGTGGAGGACCCAGTGGGTGCTGCTGTCCTGGGAGTAGCTGGGGCACGGCGGGTGGAGTTGAGCTGGGGGCTCGAAGCGGAGGCCAGAAGAACCGCAGTCACTTCCTGGGGAACAGAGAGGCTCCCCCTAGAGGCGGGACCGGCAGGGCTCGGGGGCTGGGACGCGGAGTGCGCAGGGTAGGAAGACGCGCCCTGGGCAGTGACCCGAGGCATCCTGGGTCCTTCCCCCGGAACCGAGGTAAGTTTGGCCGGAGGGCCGGGTGTCACCGCCCCTTGGGGTTGGAGGGTCGCCGGGCCAGCGGAGGCGGAAGCGCTCGGGTAGGGGTAGCGGAGGCCGGGTTCGCGGGGCTCCGGGCTCCCGCTCTGCATAAGCCGGGCCGCTGAAGCCGGGCCCTGCGAAGCGCCCACGGGTCCGGCGCTGGTCCCTGGGGCTGGAGAGAAGACTTCTGTGGGGTCCGCTGCGCCCGGGACCCCTCCCAAAGCCGAGGACGCCGAAGAGTGGCGTCGCGCAGTGGCTCCCCGGGCCTGTGCCCCCTCCACGCCTGGGCTTGCCCACCCACTGCAGACAGGGGCTAGCAGGGAGGGCCTCCTGAACCCGATAGCGCGGCCCAGGTGGCCCGTGAGCCTGGGGCAGCCAGGCAGGTGCCAGGATAGACCTTAGATGAGAAGAAGACAGGCTGTCGCCAAGCTCTGACCCGAATCTGACCACGGCTACCGGCCTGGGCGCTGTCGCCTTCAGGGTGAGGTCCCTTAGCGACTCACAGAGGACCCGCAGGATCTGGGCTCCCACACTCTCCAGTGCGAACTGTCCCCACCCCACCTGCAGCTCCTTCCACCTGCAGTCCTCACCCAGCCACGCACCCCACTCCACTTTGCAAGCTAGATACTCCTCATTCTTCCAGTAGTTGTAAAGTCACCTCCTCTGGGAAATCCTCTGGACAATTAGAGAGGGGATGCTCCCCTTCTCAGTGTCCCCACCATGCCTGTGACTATACCAAGCACCAGCCTCTTCCCAGCCTGCTGTGAGCGCCTTCAGAACAAGCCCTCCCTTTCCGCGGTGTCCGGTGGCTGTGCCTGGGCTAGCACAAGACTCCCTCCACGCTTTCTAATGAGTGAATGAATGAGGCTCTGCTCTACCTTGATCAAGTGCCCTCACTTTTCTGTGTCCTCAAAAAAGGCAATAATCCCTTTGTGTGATACAGGAATCTGTAAGGAGGCCAGGAAAAAGGTGATTTTGCCCTCAATTACTCTAGTTAGCCTCAGAACTCTTGGGAAGTAAAATGAGGTAATGGCTGTGAAGATGTTTCAGGAATTCTTAAATGCTGTAGGATTGCTGTCACTGCCCTTCCCAGCCACCTCCCCACAATAATGCCAATAGCTCATCCCTCATCCTCTCCCTGCAGAGGAACCTGCAATTCGGAGGGACTTTGGGAAGCCCCTCTGCAGTGTTTCCCTCTGTTTACTGAGCCTCAGGGCCTATCTGATGATTTTTCCCCAAGAGCACTGCTCAGCGGTCTTCCCACTCTGTCTCCCAGGCCAGGGCCTCACCCTCTTGCCTGAGAGACTGGACAGCCTCTCCTGGGTCTCCTGGCCCTGGAGCTGCAAGTCCAGGGGCCCAATTCTAGGAAAAGGGAGTTTGAGGGTGCTCAGTCCTCCTTCCCCAGCCCCTGGCCGGCCCAGCAGGGTTGGGAGCAGAGGGAAACTCCCCTCTGCATAAGTGGCCCTTGACTGCCACCCACTTAGCTCACCCCTTTTCTAGGCATTCACTGGCACTTCTAGGAGGGGCCTATGGGACCTCCCCTGGACCCCTGCCTGCTAGCCACCCTTGCTACTTCCCCAGACTCTGAATACCCCAGATCCAGCCAACGACAGGCTCAAAGCACCTCTGCCTGGCCTGGGAGTTGTTTCCTCTGTCACTTCTGAAGAGGAAGCGTGGAAGAGTGGAGGCAACTCTGCTGAAGCCCGGTGTCCAACCGAGGGGTCTGCAAGGAAACAGAGAGAGTGTGAGAGCAGGGCCTGCAACACCCAGCAGGTGAGTGGCCACCCCAGGCTCCGACGCCCAGCATTCGGTTCCCCATCACGGTAGCCCCGGACTCAGGAGGGCACAGTTGTTGCACATCTACCGTGTGCCCTGCAGGAGGCACATTCGCCGTCCCCAGTCCTCACAGCAAGCAGTGCTCAGGGAGGAAGAGCTTCTTTATGGATAAGGATCATGCATCTCATCAAATCCAAAACAGAAAGAAACAGCCAAGAACAAGCAGATCCACAGAAACAGAAAGTAGGTTTGTGGTTGCCGGGGAGGGAAGGGAGTGACTGCTACCCAGTAAGGGGTTCCTTTGGGGTGGGGGGTGATGAAAATGTCCTAAAATTAGGTTAGTGACGATGTTTGGACAACCTCGTGAATATACCAAAAGCCACTGCAGTACACCCTTTAAAAAGGTAAACTTTGGCTGGGCACAGTGGCTCACGCCTGTAATCCCAGCACCTTGGGAGGCAAAGGTGGATGGAATACTTGAGGTCAGGAGTTCAATATCAGCCTGGCCAACATGGTGAAACCCTATCTCTACTAAAAATACAAAAACTAGCCAACATGGTGGCATGCGCCTGTAATCTTAGCTACGCGGGAGGCTGAAGAAGGAGAATCACTTGAATCCGGGAGGTGGAGGTTGCAGTGAGCCGAGATAGCTCCACTGTACTTCAGCCTGAGTGACAGGGCGAGACTCTGTCTCAAAAATTAATTAATTAATTAATTTAATAAAAAATAAAAAGGTAAATTTTAAGATGGGAGTTACATCTCAATAAAACTTACCAAAAAAATGGAGGGGAGGAGGAAGCAAGGAAGGAGAGAAGCAACGAGCAAGGCAGGAGGATACCTATCACACAACCACGGACAGGCTCAGAGCACGTCTGCCTGGCCTGGGGGTTGTTTCCTCTGTCAACAGGGCCACCAGGCAGGACTTGGGCTCCCATGCATTCACAGGGACAGAAAAACAACCATGGCTCCCATCTGGCTGGGGGCCCCCTCTGTGCCAGGGTTTCTACTCGGCCCCTTAGATTCACTTTCTCACTCAGCCCTCAAAGCCATCCTATGAGGTGGGTGCCATCAGTTCATTTTGTTCATTGTATTTCCCAGATGAGGAGAAGGAGGATCTGAGAAGCTGCCCACCTTATTTCTAGCAAGCGGTAAAGTCTGTCTGATTCCAAAGCCCAGACTCTTAACTTCCTTGTCCAATAACGAATCACTCCTGCTAATTGCCAGTGCCCTAAGGCTGGATGAGTCCGTTCCATTATGTGAAGATCTCCAGGATTAAAATAATACAACCTCCTCACACATTTATAGTGCAAGGATCTCAGGAGCCTGCTCCAGAACTCAGTTACCCTCAGAGTCTAGCAGTGCTTCCTTGGGTGTATCCTCAATGTCACCTGCTGCCCAATAAACCCATTTCCCACCTCAATCTATCCTCAGTGGGCCCAGGGTCAGCAAGAGCAGACTGTCACTCACCATAGAAGCAGATGAAGGGCAGCAGGGAAGAGCAGTTCACTGTGTACACCTGCAGTGAGTAGGTCACGTAGATGCCGAGAGCTGCGCACAGTCCTCTCACCATCATCGGCACCTGCAGCCAGGAGGGGATGCTGGCCCCCAGCTCACTGGACCAGCTCAGAGATCCAGAGTTCGCATTGAGGTAGAGGCCAATCCAGGCTTCAGTCTCACTCATGAGGGATCTCAAGGCCTCCTTGCCTGTCTTGTCCGTCACCATCTGCAGGTCGGCCAGGTCTGTGTGGTGGCTGCGGCAGTACAGCAGGGCCGAGTACCATGTCATCACTTGGTCAAATCTCATGAAGGTCTGACCACCGATCTGGACCACAGCTGGGGTCAAAGAATGTGGACATCACAGGCCTGAGGGCCTGGATCTCTGACAGCCCAGCCTCCATCACCCCCGGGGATAGAATTCTTGTCTGACATGGGTGGACCCTTGTCCCCAGTCCTTGAGTGTTAGGTTTGTTCAAAACCACAATTTTATAGGTAGACTAAATACTAGGTTGGAAGAATGGGTGAGCTGTCATAGCAGCAGGTGGGGGAAGCATTAGGGAAAGCAGGGTTAAGAGTTATTGTAGCTATATGGCCTCACAGGTTCGGTTTAAGTCCTAATTTCTTCATCTGTACAATGGGGTAATCAGTACCTAAGATCAGGACCGCATGAGATCACATATGCAAATGGTTTAGCACAGTGATTTATTAATAGTATGCACATAGCAAGATGGTAGTGACCATTTGTGGGGGGGGGTTATGAGGCAGACAGAACAATCTTGGTTTGGGGTCACCTTCGAGTGTGTTTTCTAGGGGCTGCGCCTGCCCCACTGGCTCTCAGGCGAATCCAGGGCTGAGCAGAATAGAGGAAGTGTGTGATGTTCCCAGGCTCACCGTGCCTGGAGAGCCAGGGAGAAGAGGCCAGCCTGGAGGGATGGGCCTGGTGGACAGGAGGCAGAGGAGGCTCAGTGGCCTAGCCTTCCAGGGAGCCCAGACAGACTGAGATGCCGACCTCCCACAGCCACCACTGCCAGTCCCTGCCCGAGGCTGGACTGGGCCAGGTCCTGAGGTAGGGCAGGCTCAGTCTACCCTGCCCTTCATCAAGCACGTCCCATCTTGTAGCACATACACCTGCACATCTGAGCTTCCAGACAATGCAAGTTTGGAACGACGTAAGCGGCTGGGACTCGACCTAAGGCATTGATTCCGGGGGGGCTGCCCGGAAGAGAAAACACTTGTGTTTACCGAGTTGGGAGTCACATGCTCAAATTCAAATGGAGCCTCCCAAACTCGGACATGGGCCTTTTACCTAAGCCCATTGAGATTTGCCTCCGATTTACCTATCATTTTCCCTATCTAAACTGGTTTTTTAAAGTTACTCTTGATTAAACCACTAGTATGTGCCAGCCCTTGAGCTATGCATGTGGCCTGTGCCATCTTTGAAAACTCCCACTATCATCCTGAGAAGGTGGTGTCATTAACCTCAGTTCACAGATGAGGAAAAGGAAGCTCAGGGAGGTGACGACCTGCCCGAACTCGTGCCATGCTAGAGATTCAAATATGGGAAGCCCTGCCATCTTCACTCTACAGCTCTGTGCCCCACACCATGCAGAAAACCCACTCCACAGACCAGGCTCAGGGAGTAGATTGCCTCTGTCATAGAACTTCTCTCTATCAGATAGGAAGAAACTTTTCAAAAGATACCAAGGCAGTAATGCCAGAGAGCACTATTTCAGAGAAGCCACCCCCACCCCCAGATGAATGAGCAGGTACTTGGGCTGTGAAGAGGAACCACCCTGTCCCAACCCCAGAGTGAGAGCTGGGCTGCAGCCGGGGCCCACTCTCTGCTTCCAGTCTCTGATTGGAGACCTGGAACCAGTCACCATCCCCTCTGGGCCCATCAGAAAAATAAAGACATTGGTCAGATCAGTGGTTCACACCTGTAATCCCAGCACTTTGGGAGGCCAAGGCAGGTGGATTGCTAGAGCCCAGGAGTTCAAGACTAGCCTAAGCAACATAGCAAAGCCCCATCTCTACTAAAAATACAAAAAAAAAATTAGCTGGGCATAGTGGCATATGCCTGTAGTCCCAGCTACTCAGGAGGCTGAGGCAGGAGGATCACCCACCAGGAAGGTTGAGTGAGCTGTGAGTATACCACTGCACTCCAGCCTGGGAGACAGAGGGAAGCCATCATGTCTTAAAAAATAAAAATAAAAAATAAGCCAGCTGCGGTGGCTCACGCCTGTAATCCTAGCACTTTGGGAGGCCAAGGCGGGTGGATCACCTGAGGTCAGGAGTTTGAGACCAGCTTGGCCAACATGGTGAAACCCTGTTTCTACTAAAAATACAAAAATTAGCCAAGTGTGGTGGTGAGCGCCTGTAATCTCAGCTACTCAGGAGGCTGAGGCAGGAGAATTGCTTGAACCCGGGAGGCGGAGGTTGCAGTGAGGCAAGACCGTGCCATTGCACTCCAGTCTGGGTGAGAGGGCGAGACTCCATCTCAAAAATAAATAAAAAATAAAAATAAAGAACATTGATTCTCTCCATGGGGTTCAGCCAGGGGGCCGCAAAGCCCGGAAATCCCTCCCAGACAGCCAGGCAGGAGTCAGGGGAACAAGGGAACCTGGGGGTGGAGATCCTGCCGGCTGATCCTGGTGGAGAGGTCCAAGGCAAAACAAGCCGAATTCCGAGAAAAGGGATTGGGGGCAGCTATGTACCTAGCTTTGGAGAGGTCGTTAGGCTGAGAGAGGGCTTCGTGGAGATGAGGTGCCCAACATCAGGGTCTGTAAAACAGAAACAGACCATGAGTTACAGGGACGCCCAGGATCCTCTGCAGGTACCAGGAGCTGTCCAGTTACAGCCAGGATGACTGAGCTCAGGAGCAGGTAGGCTCGTCCATCCATTTCTACATCGATTCAATCCATTCAATAAATACTGGGCACCTATTGTGTTGCCGACCTTATTCTAAGCCCTAGGAAAATGGCGCGGAAATAAGAGAAGCAGAGTCCTTGCTCTTGAGGAGACTATGAGAAGGAGTGAGTCTTGCAGAGAGCTGGGAGGAGCCTCCCGAGCAGAGCCACAACAAACTTCAAAGCTCTGTATACATGCAAGATATAATTCTACTTTCAATGATGTACATTTTGTCCTAATTTCACCAGCCCGCAGCAAAGGTCCTGCGGTGGGAAGGAGCCAAAGGAAGTCATGTGGCTGGGACAGGAGTAGGAGAGGAGGCCAAAGAGGCGAGGCGAGGCCTGATGGCTGAAGGACAGGGCTCTGAGTGCTGCCAGGGCCACTGATTCTCTTCTTTACAGGGAAGTGATCTGATTTGCCTTTTTACAAGCTCATTCTGTGTAGAGAACAGACTTTAGTGGGCAAAGGCAGACCAGAGGAGAGACAGCGCTGACCTGGCTCCTGTGCTGGCAACAGAGATGCAGAGCTGAAGAGCGTGAGGGGTCAGGACCCATCTTGGTGGAGTGTGGGGACAGTGTAGGGAGCAGAGGACAACCCCATATACATACCCCTCCCTTCGCAGGCCTCCTGGTCCCAGGCACACTTACCACCCCCGTAATCTCCTTACTCCCTTGGGAACCCAGCATTGAAATCTAGGCAGCTACACCTGCTATTCTCAAGGTCCCGGGGCAGGCACCATGTGGCCATGTTGGGCACACATGAGGTCAGCCCTCCACAACTGTATTTGAGAGGTGAAGGTGGCACAGAGCTGGACTGAGTTTGGCCGACAGAGGGAAAAGCAGGCAGTGACACTCTTACCAGGAAAGCGCTGAGCACACTACAGCCAGCTCCTGCATGATCTTCCCAGAAGCAACAAGTCGGGAGTCAGGCGCACTGGCAGCCAGGACAGAGAGGGGCCCGGTGAAGCACAAGGAGGGGGACGTGTGCATGGCATACCAATGGCGGATTTCCTGAAAAGATGCCTGAGGAGTTGGCTCACACTGCCCGCTTAACAGGAAGCAGGGGATCTCCTAGAGGGCGGCCGCTCCCCTCCTGCCCAGCAGAGACCCTAACCATCCACCTGTGCTTCATGAGAAGGAGACTGAATTCTGCTCTTGCTTCTGCACAGGTACGCATGCATCCCCCAAACCCCAGCCTGAATTTCCCTTTTGGCTCCCTTTTTCTCCTTCCCCCAAATCCTTAACTGGCAAGAGAAGAACTTTCCAGATTTTATTTTTACTCTATCCTGAGTTGCACCCATTTTTTCTAATGGGGTCTTCAGAATAGGGTTGCAGAGGAAATAGAAATGAAGGCCACAGAGAGCAAGTGATGTGGCAAAGAGTAAAGTCATGACCAGTTTTCCTCTGAAACGGTGGATCTCTCTCCACCCCACCCCCCACCCCCTCATTTGCTGTTGAAAAGCAACAAGCCACCCTGGCCAGGCCCAATGACTCATGCCTGTAATCCCAACACTTTGGGAGACTTGAGGCAGGAGGATCACTTGAAGACAAGAATTTGAGACCAGGCTGGGCAACATAGCAAGACCCTGTCTCTATTAAAGGTGTTTGTTTGTTTTTAAGACGAAGTTTCGCTCTTGTTGCCCAGACTGGAGTACAATGGCACGATCTTGGCTCACTGCAACCTTCGCCTCCTGGATGCAATTCTCCTGCCTTGGCCTCCCTAGTAGCTAGGATTACAGGTGCCCACCACCAAGCCCAGGTAATTTTTTGTGTCTTTTTTAGAGACGGGTTTTCACCATGTTGGCCAGGCTGGTCTTGAACTCCTGATATCAAGTGATCTACCCACCTCAGCCTCCCAAAGTGCTGGGATTATAGGTGTGAGCCACCATGCCTGGCTTTTTTTTTCTTTAATTAGCCAGGAGTGTTGGCATACATCTGTAGTGCCAGCTGCTCAGGCGGCTGAGCAGGAGACTCACTTGAGCCCAGGAATTGGGGGTTACAGTGAGCTATGATCACACCACTGCACTCCAGCCTGAGCTGCTAACAGAGCGAGGCGCCTGGGGGGGGGGAAGCGAAGCCTGAAATGTGAATGCGAACACACCATAGTAGCAGAGGAAGGGCTTCTGGGCTGTGCAGAAGGCAGCCCCGATGTTGAGTAATTTCAGCCGAGTGCACAGCGTGGCACAGATGCCCACCCCGAATTCGGGCATCTTCAGGGCCCACTCCAGGGCTGTGAAGGAGGAGCCGCTGGACCATCTCAGGCCAGAAGTGCTTGCGTCAAAAAAGAGGCCAATCCAAGCTGGGGTGCTGGTCATGAGGAAGGAGAGCTCCATCATGTCACTTAGCTGCAGGTCAGCGAGGTCTGTGTGGTGCAGCCGGCAGTGCTGCTGGGCGTCGGACCAGCTCAGCTCCTCCTTCACCAGAACGAAGTTCCTCTCACTGCTCACCAGCTGTAGGGCTGGAGCAGGAGAGGCTGTCACAGCACAGCTGTCCCTCCCCTCCCCACCTCTAGTCCTCAAAGAGCTTTCAGACACACCCTGGTGGGCCTCCCCAGCCTCCCCGCCCCCTCCGCGCCTCGCCACTGATCCACCAGTTGTATCCAGCTCTGCCTCCCAGCCTTGGCACGAGCCACTCTTAATCGGGAAGAGCCGGCCACCTCCTCCAGCTCCCTCAACCCACAAATCCTATTCTCCCATTCCCTCATCTCCCCAACCCCTTTGCCCAGCTAACTCCCCACCCTTCTGCCCATCCTTTCTGCAGAAAAGGTGAGGTGCCTTTCCTATATGCTGCAGTTAGTGCTTGATAACAACAGACAGGGTTTGCTGAGCGCCGCCAGGCGCTGTCAGCTCACGGAATTCTTCCAGCTGCCTAAGATATCACTCTGCCTGTTTTACAATTGAGGTAACCAAGCCACAGAGAGTTAAAGAGACGTGGCCAATGCCACCCGGTGGGAAGGGAATACAGCCCAGACTCAAGAACCCTGGGCAGGCTCCCAGCTCCAGGCCCTCCGTGGCAGGGCACTGCCCCTCCAGCAGGGGCTCACAGCCAAAGTTGCACCCGGGAGTCACCTAGGGAGCTTTTCAAACACAGCGATTTCCAGGCCCGCCTAGAGCAAAGATCTGAATCTCTGTTACTGGGACCAGCATCAGAATTTTTTAAAAGCTTTCAGGGAAGAGACCTTTTTGCTTTTCTGTCTGTACTACCTGGTCTAGGCAACTTAGGAGCAAAGAACAGCCTCATTTATCATGATATTCCCAGGGCCCAGACAATGCTGGGCACATCACAAGGGCTCAATGTGTTGAAAAGAAAGAAAGAGAAGGGAAGGAAGGAAGGAAGAGAGAAGGGAGAGAGGAGAGGGAAGGAGAGAGGAAGGAAGGGGGGAGAGGGAGGGAAGAGAGGAAAAGGGAACGCAAGGGAGGGAGGGACTGACAAGCAGATCAAAGGTCTCCCAGGAAGCCACCCCAAGCCCCAGGATCTGTGTTCCTTCCTTCCTTGACTCCATCCCTTTGGTCCCAGGAAATGCGGCTGGACAGGGCTGCCCTGCTCTGCCCAGGCCCTGCCTGTGGAAGAGGCAGAGAGGAGTGAAGGACTTGGCGCTGGGATCTTGGGGGTCCTGGCCACAAGGAACCCTTCAAGCTAGATGCGCCAGGAGAGGAGAATGAGACCGGGGAGCTGGGCCCAGGCGGTGGCAGGGAAGAAGCGGGTGGGAGGGCCGGTCTGAGGAGCCACTTGCGGAAGAGAGCCAGCGCCTCTCGCCCGCCGCAGCGGAGGATGCTTCCTGCCGCTGAGAAAAGCGTTCTGCTTATTATTATCATGATTTTTAAATAACTGGCTGTGGCCCGCATCACTGATTTTAGGACGGTGTCCACTCCCGGCGCCCCAGCTCCGTGCAGGGCGCCCCTCCCGCCGGCCTCTCCAGCCCCACCTGGGAGCCTCGGGAGCAACCTCTGTCTCTCCGTCGGTTCTACAGCCTTGAGCCTCCTCGAACTCTGCCCTTCTCTGCGTTGCTGCCGCCGCCTGGGCCCAAGTCGCCTCTACCCTGGGCGGTCCCCGCTCTGCAGCCAGAGGGCGGAAGACCGGACCCGCCTCCGCGGGTCGCAGCCCAGGGGCCCCGCGCGCTTCGCTCCCCCGCGGCGCCCCCGCCAGGGTTCTTCCTGGCTGCCTTGGCGCTCCTTCCTCCCCTCAGGCTCACCCACGGCGCCCTTCCCGCGAGGACCTTGCCGCCCTGGCCCGCGGACCCCACAATGCCCGCCCCGTCCACCCCCGGCGATGCCCTTCCGTGCATTGCACACGCTCCTGAGGTGACCTGCGGCCGCTAGAACGGGGCTGCTGCGGCCCCAGCGTTTCTGACGCGGGCGGAGCACTGTCTGGTGAGGGCGGTGAGGGGGCGGATGGAGACGTTGTGCCGCAGGACCGCGCTCTGGGCTCCGCACCTGGACGCCGGCGGGGGTCGGGGGAGGCGCCGCGGGCAGGGAGCGGCGGCGGGGCCCCCTTCCCACCCCTGTCCTGAGGGTGGAAAAGCGTTCATTTCCTTCCACCTTGCCTTCCCTCCAACCTGGAAATCTGGGCGCTTCAGGGGAGCGCCCCCTTCCCTCAGCTCCCAGCCCTGGGGAGCATGGAGCCAGGCACCCTCCTCCAGGCCGGGGCCTCACCTGCTGCGCACAGGGAGAGCTGCAGCGCCCGGGGCAGCATGGCTGGGCGCTGGCGGGCGCTGGCGGGCACTGGCGGGGCACTGGCGGACACTCGCGAGGCACTGGCGGGGCTCTGGCGGACACTGGCGGGCACTGGCGGGGCGCTGGCGGACACTGGCGGGCACTGGTGGGGCACTGGCGGGCGCTGGCGGGTCACGGGACAGGCCCCCGGAGCCGGCGGAGCCTGTGGCCGAGGCTGCGTCTGACCTTCTGGCGTTTTCTTCCTTGCTCTCTGCTCTCCTCCTCTTTGCTACCCAAACTGCGGGATTTTACTAAACAAACACCCAGCGCCTGCTGCTGCCAGCTGCAGTGTGAAGTGCTGGGGATGCCACGTGGAGGGCGTGGAAGAGGTCCCTGTGTGGGGCCTCAGAAGGCAAAGTTTTTCTCCGACCTCCTGCCCTCCTGTCTCTCACCCACGCTCTCCCCAAGGCCAGCCACGGGAACCAGAACCCCTTGTCCCCAAAGCCAGCCATAACGCCTAAAAATACTACTCCAACTCGCCCCTGCCTTGCCGTGTAAAAACTAAGACATGATCTGAAGGGATCATTGTTTGACTGCGGGTCATGAGACCCCCCATTCCAGAGAGGGCCCTGCCCCACACCCAGAGGAAGGACTTCATGCTCAGAGGAGCCAAGAAGCCAGACCCACAGGCCTGGCTGGGTCTCCCCACTCAGTCCATTAGGTGAGACACTTTGAGTCCACTCATATTTCTGCACAGCTGCCCACAGTTTGTTGAACCTAAGCATAAAAATGGACAATTTCCCCCTGTATCTTTGGATCTTCATTCTGAAGGCTCCCAGGGACACGGGTTAAATAAATTTGTATGCCTTTCCTCCAATTAATCTGCCTTTTTCGAGTTGATTTTTCAGGGCATCTTCAGAGGTCTTCCTGCAACTTAGGAGGAAGGCAACATGGATCCTGTAATGAATAACCAGATCAGAGAGGGAAGGAATCCATCTTGGAGCTGGCTGCTGGGAGAGAAAGGGAGTTAGGGGAGCAGAGGGCAGGGTGAGGCTAGACCCCAGGAGTCCTCAGGCTCAGAGGGGCAAGGGCAGAAAGGAAGGAGGGGGAAGAAGGGGGTGAGGAGGGAGGAGCTGGAAATTGTGGACCAGGCTTTGCCAGACTCACCCCTGCCCCTCCTCACAGCAACCACACCAGGAAGACAGCTATCATTTTCCCTGTTTCACAAGGGAGAAACCAGCTAGAAGTGAAAGAGCCTGCTCAAGACTACACGACAGGCAGTGGTGAGACAGCAATTCAAGCTTAGGACACTGAAAAGCATGAGCTCTGCTTCCACACGGTCGGAGGCCCCCACGCCCAGTCTAGGCTCTGGTGCCAAAATGAAGCACGGAACTGGACTGGACACCGTGGCATGCACCTGTAGTCCCAGCCGAGGCAGCAGGATTGCCTGTGCCCAGGAATTTGAGACCAGCCTGGGCAACATAGTGAGACTCCATCTCTGCAAAAATTAAACATTAGCAGAGCATGGTGATGCATGCCTGGAGTCTCAGCTACTACTCAGGAGGCTGAGGTGGGAGGATTGCTTGAGCTGGGAGGTTGAGGCTGCGGTGAGTTGTGATTGTACCATTGCACTCCAGCCTGGGAGACAGGGCAAGACCCTGTCTCTAAAATTAAATAAATAAATAAATAAATAAAACAAAATAAAGCACAGGCACTTTCTCTGGGGAACCAAAACCAGCTTGCTTGTGTTCTCTCTTCCACAACATCCAATATGCTGTTTAGGCCCAGAGCCCTCTCTGCTGCCCTAAGGGCAAAGCTTTCAGAAACACAGTCTGAAGGCTCTCTTTTTTCTTAACCTCCACTCCTTCTCAGCCTTCCCTGATGGAACGGCAAACAGCCCCTCTGAATGGGCAAAAGGGAAAGGGGAAAACTGTTACTGTGTCCACAAAAATGTCCTGCCACAGAATCGTCTTGTGCAGCGATGACCTCGGATGATTTCCTCCCAGAAGTGTGTGCCAGGGCCTCTCAGGACAACCCTCTGGGGACAGAAGAGAACCTGACAGTCCTGACCTAGAGCATGCCATCCTGCCAGTGACCTAGTCATTTAACCATTCCCCCAGGCATCTCCCTCAAGTCTCTCCAGGAAGGGCTCTGCAGCCTCAGCCCAGCTCAGGCCCAGCATCTCCCTGAGGGCAGCACTTGGAACTCGAGGCTGAAATTTCATCTGTGTTTCTTTCCTTTCTAACTGTGAGCTCCTTGAGAGCAGGGACTTTGCCAGTTACAAAGCACTCAGCCCGTCACAAGCTCAACAAAATCTTTCAATAAATGGTAAGCATTAACTTATCATTAGTAACTGTGACGGTTAATATGGAGTGTCAACTCGATTGGATTAAAGGATGCAAAGTATTGATCCTGGGTGTGTCTGTGAGGGTGTTGCCAGAGGAGATGAACATTTGAGTGAGCAGAACTGGGAAAGGCAGAGCCACCCTTCATCTGGGTGGGCACGATCTAATCAGCTGCCAGCACAGCCAGAATAAAAACAAGCAGAAGAACGAGGAAAAACTAGACGGGCTTAGCCTCAAGCTACATCCTTCGCCCATGCTGGATGCTGCCTGCCTTCAAACATTGGACTCCAAGTTCTTCAGCTTTGGGATTTGGACTGGCCTCCTTCCTCAGCTTGCAGACAGCCTACTGTGGGACCTCACCTTGTGATCGTGTGAGTCAGTACTCCTTAATAAACTCCTCTTTATATATACATTTATTCTATTAGCTCTGTCCCTCTGGAGAACCCTGACGAATACAGTAGTGTTTGCTATTATTTTTTCTCTCTGGATTGCAGCTCCTAGGCAGTGTTCTGTTAGGTACATAGAGACCTTAAATGCATGGATGAAGAGATGCCTTGGACAAGACACAGAGGTGAGGGTCGGGGGGGACAGCTCTGGCTGTCACTGGTGGCTGTGCCAGGAAATCGGGTCAAAGGAACCAAGAGTGAGGGAGGAACAGGAATAAACACTCGGTTTGCATGAGGTACAGGAAGCCAAATGGTTCAGGGAAACTCCCTGCAGCCTCTTTTCCTATCCCCTAGAGTGGGAATGCCATTTTCGCCCAGGTTCAGTGAACCTTTATTTATAGACAGACAACTTTCACCTTCCCTCAATCCACACCTTTTCTCCCGAACAACCCAATCTGCATTTCCACAGTGGGAACTTCGTTCCCCACATGGCTTTTGCTAAAGGTGTGAGCTGTGGCCGCAGCACCCCTGCCAAGCATCCAAGCAGGCCCTGTGGAAAGATCCCTGCGGCCAGCTTGAGTGATTTTCTCTGTCCCTTGATTCTTCGTCTACAAGATGAGACTATAATAGCTATTTGACAATGGCGGTTCGGTATGGTGAGGATTCCTTGTTATGAATATGATGCACTTTGCAAACGCCAGTGTGCAGGAAACACTTTCTCTTCTAGAGTGTCTGTCTCATTTGCTACTCTCATATGCCAAGGTATGAGAATCCCAGCGACTCTGCTACCTTGATGACAAGTAAAGCAATTTAGCTTTCACTCTGAGCACTCACCCTGCCAAGTAAGGAAGAAATTTAAGACCCTCTTTTTTCAGGGCTGTTTTCACAACACACACACACAGGCACACACTCTCACACACATTCACACACTGTAGAGAAAGAACACGAGCCTGGGTCTTCCCTCGGGCCTGTCTGCACTGCTCACCACTGAGACGCCCCTGTTTCCAGTCCCTAGGGTCACTTCAGGTCAGCCAGCTCTGCCATGGCGTGACTGAGGATGTTCTGAGAATCTGGGACCCCCACACGGCTGTTCCTCTCTGAGTCCCTACTCCTGCCTAGGGCTCTGGGGAAAAAACACGCATTACCAGCTACAAAGCTTACCCTGCCTCGGATGTATAAAGCACCCAACCTCATCCAGACCCGCAGAAGAGGCTCAGCTAGCATTTGTTCCATTTCTTCAGAGAATAGTGAGGGAATGTGTTCTCTTGCCCGGTCCACAAGGGGGCGTAGTTTTAAGGGCAAGAACTTCCCAGGGCCATGCCCCCCTCCCATCTCTCTCCATCCGGGAGATTTAACGGTTTATGTTTAAATTTCGTGGGCATGGGAAGAAACTAAGAGTCAATCACTCCAGCGGAAGTTCTAAGGAACTCCTTTCATTGGCCTGGGGTCTTGGAGAAGGTGGGGCTCCTCCCCGGTTAAATGTCCCCTTCTTCCACGCCCCTTCAGACTCCATGTTTGGGCCCCCTTCCACGACACTCTCATGGAAGCCGACTTTCTCTCTCCTGGATTTCCCCTCTGGGGTCCCCTTCCACACTCTCTCGTGGAAGCCCATCTTCCCTCCTGCACTCCATCTCTCTCTGTTCCCTTCCACTCAGTGTGGAAGCTGCTTTCCTCTCCTGGATTCCAACTGTCTGGATTCTCTCACATATTAGGTGTTAGCTGTTTCCTTCTCTCTCCTTCTCCTGTTTCTCTCTTTAAATAAATTACTTTCTTTAAACACTTGTGAATCTGGCATTTACTTTTATGAGGATAGACCAAGAACCTGGAGAAACGTCCTCACGGGAACTGAGGGGGCTCCCCGGAACCCCAATATAACAAAAGGAAGGTTTCCTCCTCGCCCCTGTGGACAGGCGCTACGCACTGGAGACCAGCACTGTGCTCTGAGGGCAGTACAGGGACATCACCTGTGTCCTCAGAAGGCTCTGTCAGCTGTGTGGGCTGAGATCACCCTCAAGCACCGCTTGACCCCAAGCTCAGCTGCACTTCGTTCATTTTACCGACGCTGCAGAGACGCAAGGTGTATCCGGTTTGACGGAGGGGCAGCTCTCAGGAGCAGCTGCCCACCCTGAAAGGTAGGGCGTCTGGGGTGAGGAGCTCATGCCCTTTATTCCTGCCCCCTGCTCTGAACTCTTGTAACCTAAGCCTGCTTCCGCATGCTCTGTTGTAAGCGTGGGTTGCCGTGCTTGGCTGGCAGGGGCAGGCAGTACCCCTGGGCTGAATGAACGGTTGGATAAAAAGGATTTACTGCTGATGGTTGTGTGGATCCACATGCCCTGTGAAGTCACATGTGCCTCGTGGGGCCGCTTCTGCCTGAGGGAAAAGTTCTGCTGTG